GCTGCCTTCGCTCCACAGTGAAAATCAAACGGCTGACCAGAAAGAATTAGCAGCAGGAAATTCTGCTACAAAGTCAACCAAGAACCGATTGCTTCACAAATGTATAGGGGAAAATGGAGATGGATTGGGCATACTCTAAGGAAACCCTTAGATGACAGCGCAACGGACCGCCGAGTGTGACGCCGTTGGGAAACCACAAGTGGGGTTTCCTATGGTGACTTTGAGGAGATCGTGCAAGCAGGGTGTGAGGGATTACCGGTAATCGTGGGCACGCTTAAAGAAGACAGCAGAGAGTGGGGAAAAATAGAGACGCGTATTTGAAGCCCTATGTTCCACCCTAAACCCAAGGACACAATAACAATGGACATTTCAACCAACCTTTCAATTATTGTTCGTTTCTCCCCTTAACTGAATGCCAGTTGTTTTACACCTGCACATCACACGTTGATTCTGGCTTTTATTTATTTGCCTTTGTCTTTTTCGATCTTTAGTCGTATTACTTCCTTTTGTGGTTGCGTATACTGACGGTATTTTCATGAACAAGGAGTTTGTTTGGGTGAATGAAGTTCATTCTGACCCAAGACTGTCTGTGTCAGGCGTAGATGTGCGATTCTTGTGAACAAAGATTTCATCCCAACTCATTGGGAATTATATCCTTGATTCTAAGGTACCTTATACATTTGAACTTTGGTTTACTAATTTTGGCTTGCAGTACTTTGTATTTTGGAACACACCTTGCCTGTATAGCTGCCTCATGCCACCACCGACGTATATTTGAGTTTTGATGTTATTATTATTAATAAAACCCATAAAATATTGGAGAATAATCGTCTTTTCCCTGCTTTTGGGACGTTTCGTGACAGAGCGTGTCCCAGCGTAGTTTTGTCGGCTGTAGAGTAGAATGTAGAGATCGGTTTCTTGCGTTCAGACGATGATCGAATAAAATTGGTTGTTACGCTGACAGCTTCTAGCTACCAGATCCATCTGAAATTACTTAGTTGGGATTCTTCCGCCCAGCCTGAGAATGTTGCATTTGGAAAAAATCAGTATGACCTTCTGATTACAGACCCCATATCTATATTTTGTATTTACTTTGTAGTACAAGTTGCATTGATCTACATTCCGACTGAAGCTGAGAAACAATTGAAGTCACTTACTCATATATTATCCCTCAAGGTTTGGCTAGTAATGGCTCAGCATCCTTGATGAAATCCACTGTCACCATAACCAGACGCTGTACAGCATCTTATACAAGCACTGTCAACGATCTAAAATGGTTTTTATATAGCTTTCTACGTGTTTATCAACTTACTCGTACGGAGCAACCATGCTGTGACAAATGGCGGGCTGTGGGTGACTTGAGTGCAGTAAAACAAATCTGCATGAAATTGACCAATATTAATCTGCATTCAGTTGAACTCACATCTGGTATTACTTGCAAAAAAATGATGCCAAAAGGACATGCCTTGGTTTATCAGCTGTTAGAATGCAGGGAACAAGCCTATCAACAAATGTATATGGTCAAGTGAATAATGGGTTATATGTTCAGGGGAGATGTGGGGAGTGGTGACGTTCGTGGCAGTGCGAAATGTATTGAAGCGAATCCTCACACCCACAACTCCTGTGGTATTTGTTCTGCGTAGAACAAAAGAAAATCGAAACACCAAATCGATCGTCCAAAATAAGAAGTGTATTTCAGGATAAGGATCGTTATACGTGGATGATTGCTTGACTGGTTAAATGTACTGCAGAAATGAACTTAACACGACGGCGTGCTAAATGGTCTGGATGTTTCGCCGTTAGCCTTCAGATAAACAAGTCAATTTAAATAATGAAGGTCAGCACCCAGAGTCGGATAGTGAATGCCGCAATCCAATAGTTTTGGAGAATAATCTACCGCTACAGGCGTTACTCCAATTGAAACTGTTCTGGTTGGTCTGTTGAACTAAAAACTGTTGGATAAATATAGGGAGATAGGTGGAACTACAAATCATGCAGGCACGTCCAAATTGGACAGCTAAAGACCCTATAGTGAATGCTTATTAATCATAACCTAAAATAATGGAGAAGATTCGTTGGTCTGGTGAAAGAAGAATGAATTCTGAAATCCATGACCCAGAGCATATACGAATAAGGTTCCGGATAGGTAGAAGATGGATTGGTGACAGACGGCTTTATTCGTGAAAATAATTACTTGCCAATTATTTCACTCTAAGGGATTAAATATGATTAGCTGAATTGTAAGAACAGGAGTGTTTTCATAAAAATCGTGAGTTTCAGTGAGGAGTTTGTTTTAGATCCTCTTCTTCAGACCGAAGTCAACGATCTTACTGAAAAACAAATGATGAAAGGTGGTCGAGGAAATGTGACTGAAGTGAGGTGGATTTCAAAAGCGGTATATCACTTGTAACCGAGTTTTAATTCCAAGGAGTGATGTGTCCGATTACTTTACAGAACATTAAGGTCCGTCCCTGAGTAACATACCGTGTAAAATGCCATATCCTGCAAAACTGTCCCTCGGTCTGCTAGTAAGACTGAAGGAATTTTATTGCTAACGTCATCGGTGTGGAGAGGTTTTCGTCTGAATTAGAATCCCTTAGACGGGTAGAAGCTACCTTTGATTTTGGTTTTTTACGACATCCTCACAAACATCAACCCGTTGGAAGCGATACCCTTTCCCCTCACCACCAACTCCGCGTCACACAAAACTACCCACTTTCATTGTCCGTAACCAAACGGATGTAATGGATAGTGGTTCTTATAAGGATTGTCATCTTGAATCTTTCTGTGAACTAGGTCCAATAACTGGCTTCATCTCTCACTTTACCCACTCTCCAGCCAATGCTTTAATGCGTAACCAAGCGGTACCCATTGGAGTGGGCGTATCGATTCATATCGCCCCTGAAGAGCTAGCATACATAGGGTGGCAATTGTTAGTCTGTACTCTACTGACTCGGCGTACACTGCAGTTGCAATGGAAAGTCAAAGATAAAATCATCCGATTTAATGTTTATGATGGTGATAATCTGGCCACACAGGGAGGCATGACGTCCGTGCTATCATCTGTGTTTGATTTACCGGGAGCAGTAGTACGCTATCCACCGCTGGCAGATTATTTTTGACAGGGTGATCAGAATAATACAGAGCCCACGAAATAGATTCACTTCCACACGAGCACCCACTTGTGTTCTTTATGTTGAGATATTAGTATTCACCAGGAGGTCATCCAGATTCGTCACACGTAACTTTCCAGTGTATCGGTATAGAATAATCTGAACTCTCAACTGTGAAAAGTAAAAATTTGAGCGGGAGATGTGAGTATATGAAGATTAGATTCCTCCTATTATATGATTTCAACTCACTATCACATAGTAGACAAAATGTGGCTTGGGCTGCAAGATTCCGTGGTCACGAAGAACAAAATGTTACCTGTAGAAAAAAATTTACCGAAATTCTGATTTACATTAAATCAATTACACTAAATAGAGATTTGCTTATATAAACACAGAAACAGCAAAGGTATAAGACATAATACATCAATAAACTTTAAGTCAAGGATGTTGTTCTCAACAAAGTTATATAGGAGGGTATTTGGAGAAAGGAGGATGCAAACTAATAGGCAGTATGCAGCATGATGAAAGTAAACGTTCTTTTACTTACAATGAACTTTTTCTCCGTAAACCAGAGGAGCATGCCAGAACATAAAAACTATTGCATTGTTCCAAATACAAGGTGTGTTTCAGGATTGGCACTATTGAGCAGGGATACTTGCGTAAATAAATGAATGCACTAAATGGAATGGACATTTAACTACGTACCTTAAGCCCAAACAAACGACTAAAATGTTGGGTGTCAGCACCAGGTTTTGAATGAGGAGGGGGCTGTAGACTGGTAAATTTGACAAACAATTTACCGACAAGTTATTAGAAAATGCTTATTTCATTTCCTATTCAGTACACTTATTTCATCCATTTATTTCACAGGTGGACTGAGCGTTTATTAAATACCGACTAACTACCACAGTTTACCACTTATGTGGTCCGGAATTCGCCCCCCCGACCGACGCGCTCGTAAACTTCATTTCTCCCCTTAGATTGTAGTAAGCCTCGAAAAGATGATAGGTTAAACGTGACGCTGGCAAATTCACCCCATAGAAATATAAACCAACGATATTTAAATTTCAAGGACCGAGCTTGAAGATCTATGTTACACTGGGAAAGTGAAGGAATGGAAAAATAACACTAGTCCTAATCTTGCGAATTGCTTGCCTAATGGCTTATGGTCGAAATAGTCTGCAGCATAAAGCGTGAAGGATTGAGTAGTATGCAGCCAAACAGCGAAATTTTTCCAGAGAAGTAAGTCTGTGTAACTTTGCAGTCCCATTGCTTATTGATGGCCGAATTCCCTCCCACGAAATAGTTCGCCACTAACACAGAGAAGATTAACAATTCACACCGAAGTCGCTAGTTTTTCAACGATGTTCTGCCAAAAATTACACTGAATAATAACCGACATGCCTGAGTGTGTTTCTTCCCTCACATTGCTTTTCATTGACATTTCGGTTTTAACCAAAATGGGTAATTAATAAAACGGTTTCTTCTGCTTCACCTCTGCTTTCCTCCCCCTTAACCTATTGAACAGTCGTAGTTAATCCCTATATAGTTTCGACGACTGCCTGGCAGGTGGAAAAATAACTACTCAGTCAGTGATAGTGAGGTATTGAGTATATATTACCCCTCAAAATGTTATATGGTTACATCAATTTCATAACAACTTCATTCATTCAGAACGAATGACTGTTTAACTTCTAAGTCAATTTCATGTTTCTTGATATAAAGAAAGAAACAACGAAGAGATATGAGGGCTTCACAGTGTTTCGCAATGGATATATTGCTTATTGGAGATTGAACATGTAGGTTGACACTAATTTATTGAACCCTGTCAATCGCGGTATCCCAAGTGGCGCTTTTCCGAACCCAAAGAGACTCGCTGCATTAACTATGACCTGTGCTCTGGACAATAAATGTTTCGCTGTCCAGCTAAAGCTCACTTTGTTGGATGATAATTTCCAGTTTTACTCCATAACTGTAAGTGTAGTGAATTATCAGTCAAATGACCTCAATTTTTCTATCAGGCCAAAACAAAAGCTGGAAAAATACTGAACAGTATAGTTACCCATCTTAAAATAACGCACCCGCAATATTTCGGAATTAAAATTCAAGATAGAACACAAAACTGGGTAAGAATATTTTACGAACTTATTAGATGAGTCTAGTCAGCATTGGCTTCATCTGCAGAAAAGCATTTTGTTGCAAATGAAACTACTTGGTGAGTTTATTTAAAAATCCTGCTTTTATTTTCTCACGTTAAGTAGCACATAAGACTTAAGTATGGAATCATTTTAGGGTTTTTTGGTGGATATTTTGTGAATCAATGTGTATTTCTTGTTACTACTGATTTGTTTGAGAATAGAAGGTTTGTGTTAAGCATGTTCCACTTCGTTTTCTTGCCTGCCTATTCCCATCTTGATCAAATGTATTAAAGGCGCACACGAAACCTATTTAAGAAGACGATTCCATTAGGCTGTGACCTGCTAATATAGCCCGTACATGGTTTTCGAACTCTAGAGTAAAAGCTTTTACTGTTTTCTCAGGTGTTTCGGAAAACAGAACAAATCAGTAACACAAACACATCTTTAAGTCCTAAGTATTATAATGAGATCTATACACCATGGTTTGACATGAGAAAGGGACTCATTCATTCTTCGTCTAGTATGGTGGTTATACCAATGATCATACCTGTGGCCGTTCTTTAAAGTTTGTCCAGTAACTGTGCATCATATCTTAGACGAGGACTGACTGCCTGGTCTTATATTGCTGGTTTAGACTTCTCTAAGGCTATGTAGCAGATGGCAGGCTGTTGCTCTCCAACTGGCTTTTAAGGCTGTACCCTGACAGCTTTCGTAAATATCCTTTTCAGTCTTCATTAAGATGCTGATAAAACTGAGAGATTTTCAGTATGGATGGTATTGTGTAGGTTCTCCTATGTAAATAGAGGTGACTTGTGCATTTTTCTGATCAAATGACCACATCCTTTGTATAGAAGGCACTTGTTCGGCTGGCTACCTAAACAGCTACCTGTGAAGCCGTCAACGAACGGCGTCGAATCCCTCCCTGAGGTTTCAATAATTACAGTGGTTGATATCAAGTAAACACTTTGTTTTGTTATATGATCCGCCATTCTCCCTGCTTCGTTATGGACTGAGATGTATCTCTGTCAGTCTCCTAAGATTATGAAAACTGCACAAGATAGTCTCCATCTTGACCTGTGACCATGAGAAGCCGTACAGACTGTTTACTTGCAAAATTGATTTTTTTACTTGTTTTACGCAAAGAATGAGTAGTAGTACAGGCTACTTTCAGAGTAAAAAGCTTATCTCTACTGGGTTTGACGAAATGAACGTCACTTTGAACTTAACCTTAGGATTACTTTAATTCACTTTTCCACTTTATGCATAATGAAAGACCTATCGAAGATATCATGTGTGCTTGGGTCGGTGTTCGCTGTCCATTGGCAAGTTTTGTCCTCTGTTAAAGGTAACATATTATTCACGAAGGTCTCCTTAGGCCTTCTGTGTGAGACGATATCTTGCCACTCAGTTTTTCTCAGCCTACTTTTGGTAGTGACTAGCTTTCATCCTTCAGAGTTATTGGGGTGGTTGTATATGCACTAGTAACCACTCCTGTGGAGGCTTTTGCAGTGCATCTATAACCCTTCGCTCATCTCTTTTTCCCAGATGAACGGAGTGCGTAGCTACCATGGGTGCTCCAGTTAATCTTTTTCACTTATCTCTGATTGAACCAGCCGTTTTGTTTAGTTAGGTCGCTGAAGTATGTGAGATGTGGTTATATTTACTCTTTGAGTTAGAATATTTCGGGTAGTTTTTACACTTCATTAAGCTTAACTATCACTTCCTAAATAAAATGCTGCTGTGTGTTGCAATAGTGTCTGCATAAACAAGGTACAAAGGATTTTGCAACGGTGATCTTTTGTCTCAGAGATCAGGTTTCTGCATTCCTTATAGGATCACCAGTTACAGTTGTCATATTGTATATGGTCATCTAAATAGAAATCGTAGATGGGCCTCCAAAAATATCTGTTTGTCATCATTTATCCAAGAAAATCTTTATAAACAGCGGTTAATTGGCGAGTGTAGACCAACAAAAAAGAATAACCGAAATGTTTAAGTGACATTCCACTGATAAAAGCTTACAAAACATGTAAAACTTTGTACTTAGACTGAAACGACTGAAGTCAAAGTTTACTCGTAGGTCTTTGGTGAACACAAAAAAAAACTGAAATTACAAAGTATTATGTAGGGGTTTACTTCGTTTTAGGACGTCTAAACGAAAAATGTCGACGTGCGGATCGTCAGTCTACTGAAATTTTATCGTATATTATGCAGTGATGTTAGTTGTTTGCTTACTTGTTAATTTTACACTCTTAAAAATATATTTGTTTATGTGCCCTGTTGTCAGCGAACCAAATGAATTGAACTTTTCCGGGAAAAGCGTGCGTACACACTTCTCGGTACACTTAAGGTTGTGCAAAACTTCCCTTAATAAAGCTAAGACATTTTGTGGGATCTACGTATCTGTAAGCTGCCTACCTGAATTCCAAAAGGACATCCCCCTTATTATGCATGTGAATCGTAACAGTTTTCAACATTCAGTTCATATGATTCACATCAAGTTGAAGATATATTTTATCCTTGGATGGTAATAATAAAAATGTTTATATACTTTTGGGGTTCTGAGAAGTGTGTAAAAGGGGAGGAAAATTCAGTAGGTGATTGTCTGTAAAGTAGGCTCACAAGGCTGAGGATCTGACAAATTTACTGGAGTATTTTCTTGAAATGTTTTTTTTCAGATAGGTAAACATAAAGTAACTGTTCACTCATTAAGTTTGCATTACAATATGAAAAAAGATAGTTAAAAACGAGTCAAAGCGACGCGGAATTAGGGGATGAATAACTACTGTCCTAATCACTTTGTCTCGTTATATTCTGAGACCTTCGGAACATATATTGTGATTTTTTGATAACTTTCAACTAAGCAGCTCAGTCATCATTCAGAGACGCTGAATTATATGCGCAAATTTTTGTAGGAAATATTCTGGAGTCCTGTTTTCCGAGCCAAATTGATGAAATCACCTATTGTTCTTTTAAAAATAGCTGATTGTTAGGCATTCCCAAAAATATTTATATCTTCATTTAAATTATTAATTGACGTTTATTTCAAAGTTATTTGATTTTTTTAACTTTACAGATAGTCCACCAGTTGTTGAACAATCTGTGAATCCTAATGATATATCAATTCGTCAAGAGACACAATGCTTTTCAACATCTAAAAATGTCATCCCAATTGAACCACCGCCAACAGTGAATAGTTTAACTGAAAAGCTGATTTCATCCTTTCGTACATGCGGTTTAAAGGCGTGTACTTCAGATAAATCTCATTTCGCCAACTCATCCTATATCAAAGATACAAATAAACCTTTTACTTTAATCTATCAAGCTTATCTTGGCATAAAATATTATCCTGCTGATCCAACAATTATTGCAGATGAGCAAACAAGGTTTGTCTATTTCTGTGTTAATATTTATTTTTAAACATGTTTTGATTGTTCAAAGAAATACTCCTGTAATCTTCATTTCTGTCAGAGGAAGGTACAGTCTAAAAAGATTGCTTAAGAAATATATTTAGACGATGTCTTCTCAGGGAGCACACCGTTCCTTCTGGATGACAGTCTTGTTAAGTTTCAGAGTACCTGAAGTTTTTGAAATAAGTCTTTTAATTGTAAGATGTAAATAATCATCTCAGGAATAGATCAAATGCTATCCTTAAGTCAGATGGTTAGATTACATTAGCGTCCAACTAATCAGGCATCCCATTGATAATTAACGGCCAAGTGTATTCTGTTGTAATGTTTTCTTTACCATTAGAATTTATAAGTATTCAGATTACTGATTGCCATTACTATCATATTATCAGTGATGTTTGATGAACCTGTGATGTGCGTGATGAAGAGATTACACGTATATTATTAAGTGTGAGCGAAACATATATATATATATATGCACATTTAAGTGCAGTGTTAACCGAAACAGGATTACCCTGAAAGCAAATTTAGAGGGCCTACATCAGGACTCCAATTTTTACTTGGAAGATATCGAACCACAGGAACAGAAGCACCAATGGACTTGGGAAAAGCAATAGCATCGAAAGGTGAATTTGTTCCTCTATGCCTAATCTGCTTTAAACCAACCTTAATACCTCTCTAATTAGCTTAACTTAACCTGTCTTTAGCCTAAACTTCAACTTAATATTCCCCGAACCTGACCTAAAACTTATCAAATATCCCATTTAATATCAAAACACTTCATTAAGAATATTTTATTTGTGATTATCATGTCATTTACCTGGTTTCACTAACTTACTGACTGAGCATTCTGAAGTCATTGGATATCTGGTTATTTTAGGGAAATATTAGGGCTAAATTGGGAGTAGATTGAGGTTAAGTAATAGGGGGATTAGAGGAGTTTAGGGTTAGATCAGGATGACGATTAGGTAATGGGTAGATTAGGGTAAGTCAGGGGAAGAATAAGGTTAGGGTTGAATAATACATTCGAATTTGCCTTCTGAAATGGATAAGCCGTTTGGAAGTCATTGGTGTGTTCGTTCGCTTGAATAGATATTCCGTAACTTCCTCTTTTAATCTGAAGTGTTTAGGAAAACGCTTGTCATCTGGCAGTGGTTTATGTAGCAAAGAAAACTCCTGATTAGATGAGGAAATGAGTGAGGATATGCCCCGGAATGGATTACTTACAGTGTTTTGTCTCAAGATTGCTTACTGTTCTTGTTCGAAATGAATAACTTTAATAAAATACCTTTGATTTCATTTTCTTCCTGTTTTAAAGTTTCAACAACTGCTTATTTGCTGGTAAGATTATTTGAACTTAACGTTGTTTGGCATTAACTGATACTGTTGTGGTGGGTGATGAAATAGAACCCTAGGTCACAACAGGTTTCGAGCCACCTACCATCGGATAACCAGCTTGTCTGCCTAACATCCGATATACAGTTTACTAACCTGCTCAGCATTTTACTTCGACTACCACATGTTATCGTCATTTTAACTGGTGTGTAGTAGTCCCCTCCTTCCACTAAACTACTCATCAAAATGTGACTAGATCATCGATTAACGTTACTTACTCAATTTTGTAATGCATCATTCGGTATATCGTCAACCCCATATTATCCATTTGTTAGGTCAGTGTTAGGCAGTGTAATCTAGGTGTCATCGAGTCTACAGTTTCTAAACTTAAATGTCTTTCAGTCAGTCAGTCAGTAGGGTGCCACAATCTAGTAACCCAAGTGCCGGATTACTTTAACATCGCAGTCTGATTACCAACCATAGTTGTATTAATTATTCGATTGTTTTTTCTTAAAAAAATCAGATTAGATCACTTAATTTTAACAATGATTTGACCTCATTCTATGTATGTATGTTTGTATGTTGATATGACAAACGTCTGAGTAGTCATAACAGTGATGAAAATAATTTATCTCCAGTTATCTTATATCATTTTGCTTACAACATATGTCATAAGTGATTTGTGTTCACAATGCATTATTGTAGTGATTACAACTCACGTCAATCCACAATGACCGTTTTTGTTTGTTTGTTTGTTTGTCTATGCGTCTTTACATATTAAAATTATCAATAAACTAAAGATAAGACTAATATGTTCACAACAGTGTATTTCAATAAGTAAAAACACAGTTTTTGTTCAGCGAAGAAATTTCTTTTCAACGACTTCATTTTCAAGCTGTACAGTCGTATTTATATTACACAAAAGGTCATTAAGTGGCACTAAATAATTGCTCAGTCAATATACATATATGTGATAAGAATAACGATTATTAAAATCTTATAAGGGGTAGAGTTGAAGTGGATAAATTACAAAATTATTAAAGATTGTTTTATAAGTGAATTGAAAAATGTTTTAAAAAGGTCAAGTGTTGTCTAAAAAAAATTTTATCAAATAAAAGTACGATTACGATAAGAATGAAGATGTGAAGTGAAGTGGAAAGAATTCAAGTGGTAAAATAAAATAAAGTAAAAACTAGAAAGAACATTACTATGACCAAGGTAAAGAAAGGGGTTTGACAAAACGTTTTTGAACACATAATTTAGGTTTCTGTTCATGTATAGCTAAAGCTTCGGCTATGCATAAGTGAAGAAAACGTAAACTTTTGGATCGATTCGATTTTGCCATGTAGATAACTTTGAAAGATGAATCACGTGGGGCTAAATGACCTGACTCTAACAGGTGATCACAGATAGACGACTTCGCGGTTCTACGTTCGCCTTTCATTAACCAGACTGGATAGTGTTCAGCTACACGTTTTCGGAGATTACGCTTACAACGTCCAATATAAACCGCTCCACAAGAGCAGGTAAAAGAGTAAATACACATGGATGTGGACAAAAGCGGTAATCTATCCTTGACGCATTGTCTGATCATATTTCGGCTGGTAAAAACTAGTTGTAAGTCAGCTGCAGGAAAAGTATGTTTAATACATTTAGATAAACGATTTTTAATCAATTCCGAAATGGTGTCACCTTTGAATGCCAGACTCATAAACAGTTTTTTCTTCGGCACTGTAATTTGTCTAGGGGCGTGTTCTTTCTTGATGTTACGTTCGATAAACCTTGTAGGATAACCATTATTAAGGAGATTTGATCGAAGCTTATCTAGTTCACTGTCGATTGTCTCTGCAGAGCAGATTTTACGAATTCTAGAGCATAAGGAATGAATAAGATTTCTCTTCCTCCCTAACGGTACCCAACTGTTGAAGTTAGTGTACTGCCCAGTGAATGTTGGCTTTCGGTAAATCGACCTTAGCAACGTACCATTCTCTCTTCTATCTAGCTTTACATCAAGGAAGTGAAATGAGGAATTCGACTCTTCTTCGACCGTGAAAAGCAAAGATGGTTCTCACCCATCTTTGCTTTTCACGGTCGAAGAAGAGTCGAATTCCTCATTTCACTTCCTTGATGTAAAGCTAGATAGAAGAGAGAATGGTACGTTGCTAAGGTCTATTTACCGAAAGCCAACATTCACTGGGCAGTACACTAACTTCAACAGTTGGGTACCGTTAGGGAGGAAGAGAAATCTTATTCATTCCTTATGCTCTAGAATTCGTAAAATCTGCTCTGCAGAGACAATCGACAGTGAACTAGATAAGCTTCGATCAAATCTCCTTAATAATGGTTATCCTACAAGGTTTATCGAACGTAACATCAAGAAAGAACACGCCCCTAGACAAATTACAGTGCCGAAGAAAAAACTGTTTATGAGTCTGGCATTCAAAGGTGACACCATTTCGGAATTGATTAAAAATCGTTTATCTAAATGTATTAAACATACTTTTCCTGCAGCTGACTTACAACTAGTTTTTACCAGCCGAAATATGATCAGACAATGCGTCAAGGATAGATTACCGCTTTTGTCCACATCCATGTGTATTTACTCTTTTACCTGCTCTTGTGGAGCGGTTTATATTGGACGTTGTAAGCGTAATCTCCGAAAACGTGTAGCTGAACACTATCCAGTCTGGTTAATGAAAGGCGAACGTAGAACCGCGAAGTCGTCTATCTGTGATCACCTGTTAGAGTCAGGTCATTTAGCCCCACGTGATTCATCTTTCAAAGTTATCTACATGGCAAAATCGAATCGATCCAAAAGTTTACGTTTTCTTCACTTATGCATAGCCGAAGCTTTAGCTATACATGAACAGAAACCTAAATTATGTGTTCAAAAACGTTTTGTCAAACCCCTTTCTTTACCTTGGTCATAGTAATGTTCTTTCTAGTTTTTACTTTATTTTATTTTACCACTTGAATTCTTTCCACTTCACTTCACATCTTCATTCTTATCGTAATCGTACTTTTATTTGATAAAATTTTTTTTAGACAACACTTGACCTTTTTAAAACATTTTTCAATTCACTTATAAAACAATCTTTAATAATTTTGTAATTTATCCACTTCAACTCTACCCCTTATAAGATTTTAATAATCGTTATTCTTATCACATATATGTATATTGACTGAGCAATTATTTAGTGCCACTTAATGACCTTTTGTGTAATATAAATACGACTGTACAGCTTGAAAATGAAGTCGTTGAAAAGAAATTTCTTCGCTGAACAAAAACTGTGTTTTTACTTATGAATAAATGGGTATTTTTCGTGATTTCAATAAGTAACTACACTTGTCTGTGTGCTAATGAGTACAAAAGATTATTTTTTTTCTCGTATCATCTGTGGTAAATATTTGATGACGTAACACTTAAGTAATCCATCCCGATGAGACACAGAGTGCCACAAAGATATATGCAGTGCAGCACATTCTAGTCTGTCTTTGCACAAGCAAAGTTGAGGAAACATTAAAAAAACGGTTGTTAAATGAGTTCAAAGGTCAAGTGATTATAACTCATGAATGTCACTTAATTTCACTACCTGACACTTGATAGGGGCTAGATCTGCAATACTGATTCATAAATTGTAAGATTTTAGTAACAAAATAAAAAGCGTTTATTACTAATTATTAAATTAACTTGGTTTTCAGGCCTTAAAATAATTATTTAGTTTGCACTGACGTTTAATTTGCCTAGTGTATATTACTGATCAGATCAATCTTTAAAGAACTTTTCATCAGTTGTTGGTTTGCAGGGATTTGATTGATTTCAAGTCTGATCATGAACTGACATCATCTAGAGAACCACTAGAAACTAGGAGGCACTAAACAGCTGTTTTGTCCTAGTCTGGGACTCCTCATCAGTATCCAATCTTCACCCTATCAGGAAATTAAGCCAGGACCTTAAGGTTAAAGTGTGATCCCGTACATCATTTAGCTACTGTTATGGAATCCACTGGACTATAATTTCTGACTCCTGCCAAGTCTCTACATCTGACCGCCAGCTGGTATGATCGGCGAATATCTGTCCTTAATCACGACTTGGAGAACACCGCTAGTTACTAATTCCTACTAGAATTTCAGGTAGCTTCATTATGGAGCTAGTTATAATTTGGTATTTTTCAGCGGTTCCCTATTTGAAGCTGATTCATGATCAGTCTTGAAATTTTGGAGAACTACTCTAGTACTTGAACATTTCAGTTACCTATACAACCACAGGGATAAAAGAACACTTCTGGATAGCATAAAACACTGATAACTACAGTTGAGCTACAGGATCTGTTGATTAGTGAATATTTTGACTGTGTGCGTCGGTGGCACAGTGGTTAGGACTCTCGCCGACCATGCACATGGTCCGGGGTTCGATCCCCTGCCGGCGCACACCCGATATCTATGGTCGGCCTGAATTTGGGCTACCGATATCCATGCTGAAAATTCCACACTTGTACTGAAAATACGGTGTGGAATCAAGCTGTAAATCAAAATAAAATAAAATAAATAGTAATGGGTTCAGCAGCATCTGGATTACTAACTTGGCTGTGTTCTAGCTAAGCCCCAAGCCTCAATAGCTAACGAGGTCATCACTTCGTTGCAGTCATCACAATTAATAACCAGCTATCGCGTAGATGAGTAATGTACGACGGTTTGCCGTCACGCTAGTAGCTGGGTTTCATAGTTCATCTAGTTGAGCTCTGGACTGGTGTTTAATTGGCCATCAGTCCGAATCCTGGGGTTACGCAGATTTTCATTTCACCTTCACTGTGATAACCCAGAGGTACCGCAGATATTCTCACCATTGATAAAGTGTATCATTTGTGCGTGATATCTCTTAAATTCTCTTCACTGTACTACTCTCAGCGCCTAGCTAAATGATAAACTGCTTTTACCAGTAAGAGTCTAGAAAGTATAGTAGTCATAGTGTCTCTTTTGTATTCATTTTACAAGAATAATAGTTGATAAATCAACAGTGAGGATTATTACAACCCTAACTAGCATTTTAATTAACCTTTTCTGAAAGTATTGTCCATGTTTTGACCTGAAGCATGATCTACTTATGAATCATTTATTATGCTTCAAAGGAATGATGAGTATCATAGTTATCAAAAGGAACAGATCATAATGGAATTGTAAACCGAGATCTTCGAATTATTCGCCCGATGTCTCCAGAGGGATTTCCTCGTTGAGTACAAACAACACTCTGTTTACCAATAGTATCTGATTAGCTTTTATACACATTGCCATCATCATATCGTCTATGTAAGCTCTTCATCAGAGATAAATAGACATTTTAATTATAAACTGAAATGCATGACATATATGGAGAGTAGGTAATAAGAAGTTGAGTCATTGTGGATCACCTGTCATGAATGTCATATCAATTATAGATTATTTGAGTAGCCTAAATCGTATACTTCTTTTCATTTAGATTGATATGTTGAGTAGTAGTATTATTTTCGGCTTTGTACCATCATTACAGTCCTTTTCTGACGCTTACTCTGTCTCGCACACACATACGCACACAATCATCTTATCATTCAAAATAATAATTGAAAATAATGGCCAAGAATTTAGTAATATTATTCAGAAATAGTAGTAGTAGTAGTAGTGGCATTACCCGCATTAGAAATAATTAACAAATTATCTGTTTACTTATGTAATATGTAATGGTGAATGATGGTAAGGAATTTGCATTAGAGTAGACTAAAAGCAATTTTAAACATTCATCAACATTTCATCATATTGTCAGTTATTAGGATTTTTGGCTTTTGTAAGGATTTCGATTCATAACAATACAGATTTCCTCAGGAATCAACATCGTACGAGCAGGAGATGAAAGATTATGAGCAATCGTGGAGCTAGCCAGCTGAAGAGGACAGTAGAAAACAGAACAAAGTGTAGTTGTGTTTTGTTGAAGCTCTATGTTCCACTCAGAACCCAAGGGAATAATAATAATAATATTCTTTTTTTTCTAGGGATTCCTTCTTTCGCAATAACATCCACAAAGGAATGTTTATATCTCTTGCCCTTTTTTTCTTTTCTTTGTAGATACCAAGTCTTTATGCAAGTCCGAAATGATTTAGTTAATGGTCGAATGCAAGTTGATGAAAATTTGTTTGTAACATTATGTGGATTAATTTTACAATGTAAGTTATTTCAACAGCCCACTTGATAATAATAATAACAATAACAGCTTCATTTCGAACAAAATATTTACACAATGTACAGAATTCTCACAGCAATTTATTGCGCAATACCTTCTTTTCATCCCAGATATTCAATTAAAAATAACAGTCTATAGATTATCATGTGATGCAGTATTGTTCGATTTGTAGCATAAAATGATCCTTAATGACTCAAATACACAACCGAATGGCTGAAACAATAAGAACTGGAGACAATAGGAATCATTATGCTTAATAGCAATTCAGGTAGGCCAGTTTCCGAAACAGACTGCCGGGTTCATCCTGTGCTGCATACTTGAGAAAAAAATGGAACTAGGAAATTCATAAAAGTCCTTCAATTTAGAATTTGTCACATATGTATATAAATGAAGGAAAAAGTTGTGTGAGTAGCTTGATATGATTATGAGCAATAATTTGTGCTCGAAACGTGGTCATCAGTTAATATTACTGTGTAACTTATCAAAATAAAATATTATCTATAATGGAGTTACTTCAAAAATTGTTTTAACTCAATGAGCATAGTACCTGAACAAGAGATATGAGTACAAGATAGTTAATAGTCTGATAGCTACAGTTTATTCGTTCATAGTATGATGTGACTTCATAAAAATGGGTTGGGGGTGAAAAGAAGTGGTAAATAGAAGCGAAACCATTATGTAATCAAAAAGTTATTAGATTAGATGACTAGTCATGCGTTTAGCTCAGTGGTTTGTGATCAAAAAAACAAACAAACAAAAACGGTGAGTCACCAAAAACTCAGAAACAAAGTAGAGACGTCTAGTTGCCAGGATAGTGAGAGATGAATCACACTACCTTTCTATATACAGAGATTAGTTTGAAATCTTGTGATAGCATTGGCTTGAGCACAGTGAAGTGGCCATATTGATTATTTTGAACTCTTGCATCATTTCGACTGGATGCCCTCAAGTCAATCATCTACTTAGTGACTGCACTTGCTGCAAACACTTTCTTGTTGCGGATATGCTTAGAATCTTAGAAGTAAATTTGACTGGTGAAAAGGCTGACTTCTTATCACTAATTCGTCAGTACAAAATAAAACGTCACCACGTCTTTCTTTAAAAACCCTGAAATATGTAGACCACAATGTATGACCTATATGATACCATTATGCAAACAAAATAGCATTACGGTATATTATTATATTACCATAATTTCCTTGAGTTCTGAGTGGAACACAGGACTTCGCCAGCACGTCCCCATTTCATCCTTCCTTGTGAATTTGATTTTAGCTGGCTGCACGACTGCCAACAGGTTGGTATCTCCTTAAAGGCTCTCCTCCATGTCACTCTCGGATGCCTAAATTGTCGTTTCTCATTCGTGTTCTACTCAAGGGCCTGGTGCTTGATATCACGCAACGGTCGTCTCAGTGTGCGTTTGATCCACATTCATTTTCCTTGGCATATTTGTTGGGTGATGGGTTGTTGGTTGGTATAGACAACTGAATGATATGATCAGTATATATACTACTGTACAGAATATATAGTTTAAACCGTTAATTTTCAAGAAGTGAATGCGGCTTCTTTTTATAACGCATGTACTACTTATTTCACCCTGAGCATATGAGTTGTGTACTGTGATCCCACAATCATACACCATAGTTTGATTCACATTGAATACAGACTTTTCCTGTCTTATAATTCAAAAAAGTACAACTCTGTGGAAAAGTATTACATTACATTACATTGTAGTCAATTATATTACGTTATCTAACTTACTTACTCAATCTTACTTCAGTTGCTGTCTAATTAACCTTGTTTATATATTACATCATTCTTGTAATACCTGATTAATTATCTAAACTTGACAAACCTCATGTACACACATACACACAAATAGTTATATATAAAGGATATCACCGGAAAGAGTCTCTTCGCTGAACGTCTTCTCTTTTTCAAATGACTCAAAAGTATTACCGACAAGGTGATTTATACATATGTCCTTGAAATAAGAACAAATTAGTTCAGCGAAGAGTCTCTTTTCGGCGAATTCATTCACTTAGCTGTACAGTCGCAAATATATATACAATTATTTTGTGTGTGTGTGTGTACATTAGGTTTGTCAAAATCAAAATAACCGTTAGTGTGGGTTAATTTTGATTTTGACAAACCTAATGTACACACACACACACAAAATAATTGTATATATATTTGCGACTGTACAGCTAAGTGAATGAATTCGCCGAAAAGAGACTCTTCACTGAACTAATTTGTTCTTATACATATGTAACACAAAGCTACCCAGTTGACAAGAAATAATAAGTTGATTGAAGCTTTTTGTCATTCCTTTGCTCTCGCAGTGGAATATTAGACTTTAAGTCTGCATTTTTTAAAGTTTCAACAGCATTGGTGTTGTGTTCTTAAGCAGTGGGTTCCTTAGTCCTACCTTCTTCCTTTGCTGGGCTTATTACCAGCTAAGAGAGGCTAGGCCATATAGTGTTGTTGCAGACCATTATATCATAGGAACCCACAAGTGCTGCTTAAGAAATCCATCTTCCTAGTGCATAGATTAACTTCTTGCATTAATCTTATCCATGAGCGAGATCAGTCCGTTTATATTGTTTGTTTTAAGTGTAAACAACGCTGCATGAGGGGTACTGTTTTAGCCCTAGTGGTGTCTACACAACTATTCATTAGAACTTTTAAGGATATCCCACTGAAAAATTTCAGACTAAGAAGTGATACCATTGACTACCTTCATACAAACATTGCTTGTATTATTTGTTAGGTTTCAGTAAATAAATAAATCATTACTGTATTTATTAATTAATATCTTTTATCAAAAAACAAACAAACAGCTGATTGTGGTGACTATGGAGCTGATCGATTGGGACCAAATTATGTAAAACAACTCTTAAAACTACCTAATTTGGATGAACAATTAGAAAAGAAGATAAAGACTAAACATGAAGAATGTCGGTAAGTGTTTGACATGTGTGCGTACTTACGTGTGTATGTATATGACATCTATTATTACTTTACAAATATTTGTCTTAGTTTAAATCGTTTAAAAACGTGGTTAGTAATAAGCAATAGGTTGATTTTCAGGTGACGTCTGCACACTCATGAGATCCCCGATACTATTTAAGTTTGATAGAGTATTATTATCAGTCCGAGAAGCATTGGATAGCAGGATGTGTTACTCAAGAGACGTTTAGTCCCAATATGGGACTCTTTAGCAGTTTGCACCCGTGACTTCATCATGGATAGAATCCAAGAACTTCAGGGTACATGGTGAGCCCGTTGACTATTATTTAACCCTAGGAATATATCCAGTTGTCTGCTCGTGAATTCTACTTTTTGTCAGTCCACGACTTTTAGCGCCACCATAAGTCCATATCATAGGCGAGTACATATCACCTGGTGAGCCTGACTTGTCATGACTTCTCTTTGGAACTCCAGGCAATTTCTTCCTATAGTCACTCCCTAGTAAGCATTAGATTAATTGATTAAAAATGCCCATTAAAATTTTCAAAAGAATAGACACGGAACAAACAGTACTCTTTTCGATAAATTCATCATCAGGTTCTACAATTATATATACACTATAATGAATGAATAAATTAGTCTTATGAACGACATTAATGTTTAAATAACATCAAATCAATAATATTGATAAATTACAGCTGAACAGCATCAACATAAAATAAGCTGAATGTCAGAAGAATTATGAAAGGTAATAGTACAAATTCATGAGTTTATAGTCTCTATTGAGGGCCAGGGCAGTAGTAGGGGCTGGACTTGTTTCTTTTGGACACAGAGCACTGGTTGTTTGAGGTGAATTGCGATAGCCTTTGCTGTTTGGAGTATGCGGTGCTTCGACAATTTTGGTAGTTTGTTAGGCACCCGGTATTTTATAGAGAAGGATTCTTCTACGCTGGCTTTGTGACCGGTTTGCACCAGATGGTCTGAAATCGAGCTGTTAATAGTTTTAACTACACCTTTATTTAACCATAGTGGGATATGCTGTTAATTGTTAACTGTTAGCTTGTAGCGATTTGACTGACTTCAGTGCCTCTAAAAATGACGCTGATCTGTGACCAAAGTTGAAAGCAATCAAATCCCTGCTAACTAACGCTTGTTATTATTGATTTTATGTGATGTAAAATGCCACACTGTGAGTATGTATTTCGATACATTTATGCAATGTCTCAAGTATGACTAATACATGCATTTCGTTGTGTTAAATAAAACATTACAATAAGAGGTCTTGCGTAATCAGTCATAACTTTTCCATGACCTGTCAGTGGTAATTTGTTCACTCTTGAGAGGATTACGTAACTTTTAAACATAATGAGAATGATATATGGAAAAAGAAAGCGTTACCTTTTAGTTTGTAGTATGTTGAATGACGTAATTGATTGAAATATGAGTAACTATACATAAAATTCTATCAGTTCTACGTCTCATCGACTCCAAAATGTTTCCAAATAAATTATTTATAACTCAAATAATTATAGTTGTCAGTCCTCCCGATTACTTAAGGTTATGCATCATTTTTTAGACACCGTTATGACTCATGCACTTTGACTTATTTTGTTACTAACTGACAGTAATCTCTGACTTCTGTAGTCGTTTAACAATATATATATATATATGAACCCGCTAAAATTGACTGTACAGCTTTGCAGTGAAGTTACGATAACAGGTCTCTTTGCTGAATTATGTGTACTCAATATACTAGAGACGTAGCCTGGGAAACAGTAAGACTATAAACTAACTGCTGTGATATGGTCAGATTAAAGTATGGTAAACATCTCAGGATAAAACCATTATTACATGAGTAGCATTGGGGTGATCCCTTCGGACGACCAGCATGTTGGTTGCATTACCTTATAGCTCTAAGGGTGAGGGATTACTACTGATTAACGTAAAATATTATTAAATCTGACTTCCACTACTACTTTTTGTCAACTGTTGTACAATACTGCATACGAATGGTGCGTCGGTCTTTATACCTTGTAAAAGATTACACAAACAAATTTGTTTTCCTCCCTCAGGTACTTTGCAAGGAAACTGGTTTCGATTTTTTGAGAGGTGCCTCAAATCTCCCCTCATGCAGAATTTTATAAATGATTTCGACTTTAAAGCTAATTTATCCCTAAAAAACCTGGGGGCTATGTGTTGTCAGATTGGTAATCAACTTATGGGATTTGTGAGGATTCCGATTTTTTTCATTTCACTTATTAGATCTCGTCACTAACCTAAATCAGTTGCGGGGCGAGAGGATCATTAAGAACCAGTGTGCACTTGTTTTGTCATACTATGGAATCTTCAGTAATGCGAACCCACGATTCCACCAGAAATCGAACCTGGGACCTTCAGGTTATGAGACCGAGGCAGTTGATTATTCAATTGCTTAGACGGGAATTCAGTTACCCATGAGTTGTGACTTTATCAGCCCGTGATGTAACACTATCCTGACCAATGAACTCTTTAAGTGATGTTCGTTTACGACGAAATCTAACAACTGAAATTATGTCAATCAAATGTTCCTCCACACATTGACAAATCTTCCACCGGAAACTAACCTAACAAATTTATAAATCATTATGTCCTTTTTACCCTATTTAATAACCTTCCATTAGTATTTTGATTCAATTTCAATAGAATTAGACTGTTATGCATGCACGCTTGCACTATCTGTCGCTTAACTGACTTAATCAGCTGTTTTCACCACCTAAACTCTTTAAAGCAAATAGGGTCTTGACATGGAATTTTATATCTCTTTCTAGTGGTGACTATCAGTCAAGATCAGAGCGTACACTCTGTCAGCACAACTGATCTGCTCCTCAATAAGTTCCAGATAAAACAAGAGGTGACTCACAGGGTTTAGCAAAATGATTTTTAAGTATTTTTATGATTATGTGTAGTTACCTTCCTTAATTATTTTTAAATTTTTTCGCCTTCTCTTCATTATAGCTGTCGTCAACCAGCTTTAGTAGAATATCAGTTATTGGATAAAGTTAAACAATTGCCAACCTATGGTCAGATAAAATTTCAAATCAAAGTAAGCCGAATTATCGTTATAAGTTTTTAAGTATTGGTTTGTAAGGCTTTGATTGGTTGGTTGCAGGATATCATAGTAAACTGATATCGGTTAGAGAACCATCGGAAAACCAGCTGGGAGTACTGGTTTGCGGTCGCAAACTAGGACGAAACAGCTGTCCAATACTCCTAGGTTTTCCAGTGGTTCTCCCTAACCGATGCCAGCTCATGATGAAATCCTGTAACTATTATCTGTTCTGTCGTTACCCCGTACATTGTACTGAAGATATTTCAATTGCCAAATGTTTACACTAACCGGTTATCTACCCGGATGTTTTCATACTTTGTCTTGTTGGATGCAAATCTTAAGCATCCATGTATTTTGTATTTTGTTTCTAACAAGTGATTGTTTGAATAAAGAAAGAACGACCATATTTGCAGGATAATACTACGAGCTCGGTTTATGCCGTGGATGCTCTCTCTCCAACTGCTTACGTCCTCAGCAAAATCAAATTATAAGTAACAAAGTTATTCTGAAGATACTTTTTACAATGACTTCAAGTTAAAGATAGAGAGTTCAAGCAACATTATTTCAAAGATGATCTAAGTAGACAGTTATTTAGTGGTGAAAGAGTAACTATTTATTTAGTAATTAGACAAGTGGGAGGAGGTGGAATTCAGATTTCGCATGGAAACAAGAATGGACTATAGAAAAAAAATACAAGACACAACAACATAGTGAATTAATACACATTATGGTGGAGAGTACTGTGCGTCGGTGGCATAGAGGTTAGGACGCTCGCCCACCATGCACATGGTCCGGGTTTCGATCCCCGGCCGATGCACTGCTTTACCTCACTAAGCCAGAAATAATGCTGGTAAAGATGGAAGGTTGGGCATGAGGCTAGCAACCCCATCCTGTAAAAATAAACACTGCTACAGAAACTTCGAGCCACTAGCTTGAAGCCCTATGTTCCACTGGGGAACGTGAAGGAAAAAAAATGGTGGAGAGTTCAGGAGGGTGGTCGGGGGTGAAAAGTGAAATAAAATTACAAAATAGATAAAATAATTGAACTTAGTAGACTTGGAAACTTAATAGTGAGTTCAACTCAGTGAGTGAAAATCAAAAGAAAAATATTGTGTAACAGAACAAAACATAAAAGCACACAAACAAAACCATTACCGTTACCTTTAACTGTTAAGGCAGGCTTAGTTAAGTGTTTAACAAACCGAGCAATGGGACTAAGTAGCCAAAAAAAAGACCTAAATAATGAAATAAAACAGATAGAAGAGGCGTTGGTGTTTAATAACTATCCTTTAAAATTCATTAGGAAGATTGAAAAAGGCTAAAAGAAAAAGAATTGTGAAACTAGTAATAATAACATAAATAAGAGAGAATATAAGTCATCTACAGTTATACCATATAAAGAGGGGACATCTGAGACCCTACGTAGGATTCTAAATAAAGCAAGAATTAGGGTGGCATATAAACCTACAAACTCACTCAGGGACAAGCTCTGTAGGTTAAAGGACCCAGTTGACCCAATTAGACAAAATAATATAATTTACAAAATACCCTGCAATGACTGTGAGGTCAACTACATAGGTCAAACTAGTAGGTCAGGGGTAGTCAGATTGTCAGAACATAAGAATTTATCTAAGGTAAGAATGGTTCACCCTGAGAAGATAAGTAATTTAGAAAAAAGCTCAGCAATTGCAATGCATGCATTAACACACAACCACACAATAGGGTGGGAGAGGGTTAAAATTCTAAAAAGTAATCTAGGTAGGTGGAGAGAGAGGTTGATTACTGAATCTTTGTTCATCGAATCTACACCCAACACGTGCAATAGGAATGATTCATCACTCATACCTGAAATCTGGAAAATATTACTGCCAATCAAATCAAGTGAAAATCAAGTGAAAAACAATGGAACTATATAAATGAATTTAGGAAGTCGTGTGATTACCTTGATATGATTATGAGCAATAAATTGTGCTCGAAACGTCATCAGTAAACATTACTGTATAACACTATGAGACTTCATCAAAACAAAATTTACGCATAAAGGTAGTAAGAGATTAGTCACATCGAAGTTTTTTGATGACAATGGTATCTGAGAACCGAAGTAATCATGCTTTCGTTTGTGTATTGATTATTTTGAAAACCTGACTAATTTCCACCGTGTCTCCAGTGTCAATTAGGCGTCTGGCGATTGCGCTCAAGAAGGCTTCGCTGCATTTTAAACAGAGAATTCTAGGGATATTCTCGAAAAATCTAGGAGACGATCCCTCTCAGTCCTTCCCACGTACATGCTATCGCAAGTGCAAGGGAAGTGATAAATGCAGTTGGAGTTGACATGAGGAGCAGGATACTTATCTACTTTCGACTGAGTTAACGAGCATTCTGTGTTGCAAAGTGGATTGATTCTAGCGGCAGGAAATATTCTTTTCAATGCAAATTTAATTCTGTTCTTCGCTCTTATGGATACGTTTTCACATTTGTATGCTAGATAGATAAAAACTGGTTTCTTTTCAGCTATTTTGGGTTTTGGTCTAGGTGATGTTTCCTTCTCATATTTTGATATGAACTTCCGAGTGTATTCATTTTTGATAACGTTATTCTTGATGACTGCAAGTTCCTCTTGGAACTTAGCTTCTTAAAACAACGCCCTAGCTCTGCTGAAGAGAGTTTTCGCTAGGCTCCGTTTGTAGCTGATGTAGCCAAAGCTGTGATAATCCAAGTATTGGCCAGTCGAAGTTTGTTTCTTGTATCTGGACTTTTCAGTCCTCACATCATATCTTCTTTTTATGTTCAGATATAGGAGGTGGAACTTATTATCACATTCATGATCCATTGTAAATGATATATAAGAGGGAGCCACATTGAGTTTATCGAACATCGGGAAAGCGTTATGTAAACCACAAACGTATCGTAAACACAGCTTCAGGAATAGGTGGTTCTCTCTACTTCCGGCATCATTCGTGTCTGTTCAAGATGAGCTATGGATATGTCCGCAAGGACAGGACCCAAAGATGAACCCACAGCCACCCCGTGAATTTTCCTGTACAGCTGGTCGCTGAATCAGAACTGGACGGTCTTTGTACGAAGAAATAGTAATTTTTCGTAGCTTCTTTTCAGAAAAAGGAAGTAGTTCGGACCGGTAGCATATGGTTCTTTTTGTCTCTTCAATGGGTATGCCAGTAAACAGCGAATAAACCTCGCATGATACGAGAAGTTTATCTGAAATGTTCAGTTGGTCTAATTCTTTTGAGAATTAGAAGGAAGGAGCTTGTATTATCCTGCAACTACGCTCGTTCTTTCTTCGTTCAAAATAATACAGGTAACCAGCTTTATGAAAGTAATTGTTTCTTTGAAAAAAGAGAATGACGGGCTGGTCAGTCAGCATCTGCATGACGATAAACTATTATAATAATAATAATAATACCTAGCGGTTGCCAACTAAACGTGACAGCGGTATGCCAAAACAAGTAGCTTTAGTGAAACCACTGCATTAAAGCAAAGAAGCTCATCAACCAATGCTGACTAGTGTATGACTATGGGTTATTATCCTATGGCGATTATTTACCTCCTCAATACACTTGTAAAGTACTACGTTTCGGCAAACACTTTGTTAAATATATAACCAAGTCGTCGGTAAGACTTAAGTGGGAGAATTATGTCGCTAACGACGTTTTCATCATATCCCTTGCCGTTGACTCACTAGTGTCAACATCAACAACTTATGCTACATTCAGTAGTAATAATAATAACCACTGATAAAACATTGACTAATAAAAATAATTATTCATTGGTGTACATATTCTCGTTATAAACCTATTTTACCAAGTTTTAATAAGTAAGAAGACCACTGAAAACCAGGGATTACAGGGCAGCTGCTTCATCCTATTTTGGGACTTTTCAGCAGTACGCAATCACTAGAGTTTGAAGGTGTAATTCTTGGTCCAATGGACCGGTCCTAGTGGATGAATGGCCCAATGAACTTTGTTATGTAACCGGAAGGATCTTGGTTTTAACCTCAGTGGGCGCGTACTCCCGAAGAGTCCTTAAGTACGGAAGTAACAGAAGTTCAGTACACCCTGGTGGTTTGCGAAGGTTCTCTAAATAACGTCAATACGTGCTCAATCTTGGAACAAATCAAATTCCTACATTCCAACTCTTCAAAATCTATTTTCTTTGAATTCATTTAACTACTTAAATATCAAAAAGTAGTTAGAGTTTTTTAAGAAAGATATGTCTCATTTTTTACTAACACTTCAGGAAATGCAGAAAAATGTGTATGTGTACAAATAATTCTCAAACTTAATTGTTAATTTTTGATAGCATATGCTATCCAAGTTTCAAATTAATTTCTACATCTCGAATAATTTTCTCATGAGTTAATGAGTACACTGAATGGTTTTGTGAACAGGGAGTTGAAGCTGATACCACATTTGACTACATTATCTATAGTCTCACTAAGAGATACAAAGATTTAGGTTATTCGAATTGCAAATGAATTCAGTATATTAGAGTAAGGGTAGTTTCAGGTTAAGCCAATCGAATTCAGCTAGTCAAATGTTTGGAAAGTGACTACTGGAGGCTTGTATCACTGAGTCACCTGGACTTCTCTTTCATCTTCGGTCTAATTCTTGTTATTTTAACCATTCACTTATATCCTTCAGTTACAAGACGTGTTCGCTCACATTTTTAAATGACTTTCAAACTAACGGCTTGCATTCTTCGAAGATGAGACGAAGATATCATGATGGATTAGTTAATGCTTCAAATAGAATAACATCGCATCACATGATAAAATATAGATTGTTATTTTCACTTGAAAATCCAGGATGGAGAGAAAAAAATTTCTCAGTAAATTACACCGAGAATTCCAGATATTGTGTATACTTTTTTCCAAGAATAAAGCTCCTATTATAGTCAGTTTGTAATTGTTTATCGCTTGCTAACTGAATGAATCTTCTATTTACGCTACATGACAAAATGATCATCATTATCATTATTCCATTGCATTCCAAGTAGAACATACTGTTTGAAGTCTGAGCTTCGAAGTTCCAGTGGCAGTTTGTTTTCAGGGCTGGAGTCACTAGTTTCACTTTCAACCTTCCCTCCTTACCGGTCTTACTACCGGCTAGGAGAGGCTTAGAAGTGCATCAGCTGGTAATCGAACCCAGACTATTTGGGTTGTTGGCGAGAGCTCTAACACTGGACCAGCAATGCTGAAATAATAGTTTACATGTATATATTAATTATAGCTTGATTCCACACAATATTTTGGTACAAATACGGAATTTTCAGCATGTGATATCGGTATACCCAATTCAGCAGTCAGATCATTGATATCAGGTGTGCGTCGGCTGGGGATCTAACCCCGGACCATGTGCACGGTTGGTGAGCGTCCTAACTGCCGTGTCACCGATCTGGCATATTTCCTACTGATTTACTATGCAACATCTAAATCTACTCTTGCTACGTGTACATAATATATGTTTCTATTGGAAAAATTACTCTATATTAATTGCATAACATCGTTTTTTTCTCTGGATATCTAATAGGAGACTATATCAAATACTCCATGCTTATTGTGTTTAGGACCTACCGGTGTTATAATTGAAGATTCAAGAAAAAATCTTATCAAATTTTCATGGTCAGTTATATAGTTAGCAATTCTTTCTCTTAATACAACAAAATGATTTTTTTATTTATAATTATTTTTATCATTATTATAATTGTAATTTAACTGACTGACCGACCGTGATTGCATTAGCATAATAAGCGTTCAAATGTGCTAACTTCTATTAAGTGCCTGCGTTCTGTATCCCATGTTAAATGATATAATAGGGTGAGCAGTAATGAGGCTAGGCGTCGAGTGCTAGGTGAGGAGGAGGGGAAATCAGTCGACAAGGCTGTGAAGCTACATCGACTGAGATGGTCAGGACACGTGTTGCGCATGCATGACTAGCCTTCGCCTCCTTCGACGGGCAGTGTTAGCTGACATAGTGTCAGGTTGGAAAAGAGCCAGTGGTGGTCAAACCATAACATGGTTTCATCAGTCAATGAAATCCACAACAGTCAATTTAAGCTAATCACGTAGGAAGGTGTAGACTTCCTGGTTGGGGTACTCAGGACGGTAAAAACCAATGAAGGCTGGAGACAATTGGTGATATGGTTGGCGCAAGTGCATACACTTCTTGTGATTTAAATAAGACTATATTGTTCTTCCACATTACTATTCCTTTTACCTCTGTTTTCAATCTCTTTTTACTGTCTTCTCCTGCTTTTTGTGCAACGTGGCGTGTGGCAACTTGAACAGTTGCACATAGGTGCAAAGTTCTACGTTGAATCCTTTCAGTCATGTAGTCAAGGTGGAAGGCTCAACTACACAATTTCAGCGTAATAGCTACGTTTTAGAAACTTTTTATTACCAAATACTGCTCAGCGTTATTTGAATAATTAGCGAAACCATGTCTTACAACTTATCTATTGCTTTCTGAATAAGAAGAAATTAGAAGTGTTTCGTAATTCAAAAGGAGTGAGAATTCGATGCATATCAATCTTTGTCGTGTTTAGATCTCGTCAGTTAGGTGAGCGATGGTGTGCCTAACACTAAGACTTCAACCTAGAACCCTCTTTGTTTCATGCTTTAAGGAAATTTCTACTAGGCCATTGATTAATTATAGTTAATTAAATCCTCATAAAGATTCTTGTCATGTTCCCCTTGACAATAAGCTTAAAGCTTATATAGACAGACATAGACACTCGCACGCAGAATTAAGGTTGAAAAAATTTAATGCTTATGACCTTTTTCCCTTCCTCTTCTTCCTTTTCAAAATATATATACATATATCATATCATATCACTCGTTTTAATTAGACACATCCAAATAGTATGGATCAGTTTCTATTAAATTATATTTGTATTCATAAATATCTGTGAGTTTACCCACCTGTATAAGTTCAAATTCAGGACAAATTTCCCTATTTCCTCATATATGTGTATATATAATATGTATGTTACGGATTAATTTCTCTTTGTTAATCATGTCACTGTGTCGTATGCTGTTCATTTCTAAAAAAAAATGAAAATTTATATTAAAATTTACTATCTTTAAAAAAATGAACACGATTTGATGGAGTTCAACAGATTTAATTAAGAGATGTTTGATTTTTAAGGAGTTATTTAGTCATTTGACATGCTCGCCAGCCACTGAGTTGGTCCAGGGTTCTATCCCCCGGCCAACGCCCTCCTTTACCTCTCTTAGCTGGCAATAAGCCTGGAAAAGAGAGAAGGCTGGGCGTGAGACTAGCAATCTCACCCCGTAGTAACAGACACTAATGCTAGCGAAACTTCAAGACTCTATCTTGAAGCTCTGTGTTCCACTGGGAACAGAAAGGAATAAAAACAAGTCATTTGACGAGTTGGTTAGCCATCTGTTAATTGATGGGATCTTTTTTGTAGTTCTGCTTACAGATTACAAGTATTGCTGTTGTTGTTATAGCGAAGTGATTGATACTCATTAGTGAATAATGTTTGTATAATTATTGTCATTCACTTTATGGTTTCTGAATTCGCATCCTTTTTAGAGATCGAGTTTAAAAAACTAACAGACCACATTATCCTACACGTCTTTCCTCAAAGATACTAAAGTTCATAGTACCTACAGGAGCAGTTTAATTTTCATATGTGAAATGTGCAAGATGATACTGACAGACTTCACAACACTGACTTCTTCTAGCTTTAAGATAGGTAGTGTAATCGTTGAGCTTACTGATCACTTTATGCCTTGATAAACTAATTGCTAACAAAATTCCACGTGGGATACAAAAGGCTTATCAGAGGGTATTTTCCAGTTTGTGCCATATTTTGTTCTAGATGTAACACCTGGATATTGATCAAAGGACGTGTGTACTGTGAGACTGTGTCATTTGATCATATGTGTTTGTGTTTTATCTCCTCTGTTAAATGATTGTATACTATGGGGAATAATACTAAGGTTAGGCGTAGAGTAATAAGTAATAGGAGGAGAATATTGACTGATAACAGTGTGCAGCTTCACCGATTCACATGCCTAGAACACGTATTACATTTGTTAGTCCCTTTGCCATCATCGTCCAAAAATGTTAGCTAAAGTCGGACAAGGCTGGAGAAGAGTTAGGAGTAGTGAAAAAAAGGCATCAGCCCATAAAGTCTTTGACTGCTGGTTTGAGCCAGTCAAGTAGGAGGTGTAAACTTCTTGGCTGGGATCCCCAAAACTCTAAGAACTATCTATAAGATTGCTAGAAATCAGTTTTTTTATAAATAATCTGAAAATAAAGCTTTTTGAGTATAAATTTATTCATTTACTTAGATTGAACACTAATCAACTAGTGTCATATGTGTCTAGTCCAACAAAGCATGAAACCTAGGCCTAGGGGTTCCTGCTGATTGCCTCCAACTACCTAATAATTATTGATTCATTTTTTTTCTTTCCTTGTTTTTTGTCTTTTGACACACTAACGAAAAATTCTACTGCTTTTTTAGGCCTCAAATCACTGGATTCGGGCATAAGCATAAACAAGTTCTGATCAAAATTCTAAATGAGGTAAATTATTGAAAACTGTGTTGACTTGTCATTTTATATATACATATATATGCATTACAGTATTTTGAGTGACCACCATTTAAATTGATATGATTGAAAGAAAATGAAAGGCGAGTTCTTGATATTGTTTATTCACCTAGTCTCTACCTGTAAATCAAAGACGATGATGAATTTCTTCTGCGTAATACTGAAGAAAGTCATTCTGCCAATTTTTTCAGTAATTGGAGTGAAAATTTTAATTCTGTACTCCGGTATGAACCAACAACAACAAAAAGCACCGATCACTGTCGACAGGGAGAAACCTAAAGGGAGTCACCTGTTTCACGTAATTAGGCAGTATCAAGTACGCAGCAACAGTGACCATCACCAGTCACCATCAACGGGAGAGATTTGAAAGAGGTTACTTCCTTCACTTATCCAGGAAGGAAGCACATTTTCAACCACAGGCCGCTGGAATGGATGACGATGTCAAAGTCAGCCAACTAAAGTCGGAAAGGCAAAATATTCCTTCATCAACCTGAAACCAGTTTGGAAGTCTTCTGCACTTATTCAGTATAAATAACAAGATTAAGATTCTGTTCAACACAAATGTGAAGTCAGTCAGTTTTTCTTTACGGATGAGAAACTTGCACTGCGTGTGCGTCACCAATAGCATTTCTTGCAGTCAGTCATGTACTTTTATCATCAACTGCCCTCTTCGCTGGCTTCATACTGAAGATCAAATGGCCGACAGGCTGGCCAGAAAGGTTTAGTAACAAGAAACTTTGGGAGGTGATGAATCAGCCAAGAGCCGATGACTTAGCAAATCTGTAGGAGAAAATAGAGATGGGTAAGGAGGCCGTCGAATGACATCGCGTACAATGCAGGCCATTGCTCGAGTGGATTCCCAATAGGAAGTGACGAGTGTGTTGTCAGTGCGAGGATGACATTGAGGAGATCGTGTGTTATGGTGGAGGAGATGAGAGATTATGGACAATCGTGGGCCCAGCTGAAGATGACAGCAGAAAATAGAAGAAAGCGGAGATATGTTGTTGAAGCCCTACATTCCACTAGGAACCCAACGAAATAATAATTATATTCAAAAAGTGACAATGGTGAATCCTGTACTGCTTTAGTGATAACAAAGCATACAAATTTCACTACATTATCTTCTGTCCTGTTTGGAAACCTTGATCTTGTCGTCTAAACATGACTCATCCTACCCCCTCCACATTTTTCGGCTATTTTATAAAAACGTGCTTCTCTCTGGTTACGTAACCTTTTATTTATGCTCTTTGTAGTTAAATCTTGTTTCTACCCACAAAACATCTGTTGATCTCTGTTCTTTTGTTTCCAAGCTTAGTCATGAAATTCCTCCGTAAATAGTTGACCATTTTCACCCTTAATTATTTAACAACTTACATCAATTATAACCAGTGTTAGCCTTAGTTACAATTAGTTACTGGTATTCATTGCTCTACATTTCCAAATATATGGAGTAAATCAGGATGTGCTATTTCGGTTTTTGGTGACTATCAGCACAGTCAAGGTAGTGCATTTCGTCCTGTTTGGGACTAACCCGTTAACTGGATTTATCTGATGGTGTCCCCTATACAACTTGAGAACCTGAACCATCTTTTCAAACAACAAAATGTTATTTTTTTTATTTATTTTATTTTGATTACAGCTTGATGCCACACCGTATTTTTCAGTACAAGTATGGAATTTTCAGCATGGATATCGGTAGCCCAAATTTTGCAGGCCGACCATAGTTATCGGGTGTGCGTCGGCAAGGGATCGAACCCCGAACCATGTGCATGGTCGGCGAGAGTCCTAACCACTGTGCCACCGACTCACAGCTGTCTCTTATGCAGTCGATATCAGTTATAGCTTTTGCTTTTAGGTTAGTTAGGATTTCCCATCCTTATTAGGCGCTAATGTGTCAGCAGACACCGACCATTTCGTTTCAACGTAATCAATCAGCGGAAAATGGATAAAGCGTATTTATAATAAATATAAAGTACCCTAGCCGGTGTCAGAAGCTCCTATCATCTGTTTAGTATTCACAGATCTTTATTTATTTAGTATTTGATCGTGAAAACTGTATTGCCAACTAGGTGTGTTGACGTTGTCAGCAGTCATTTAAAAAAATAAAAATACTTGATGCTTGTTAAAGTTCTTTCCTTTTATTCTCTTTGTTTTTCTTTTTACTTTCCTCTAGGGTACAAGATTCACATATTGTTGTTCTGTTGATAATTCAGTGTCTTGTGAAAATCTTTTACAAATTTGTAAAAATTATTTAAATTTTTATAGGTAAGTTGAGAAACAAACAAATAAACAACAAATACTTGATAATTTATTATCATTTTTGCAAAATTATATATTTGTATAGACCTTAGCGAAATTGCAATGAATACTTCCAACGTTTTATTCAACAAACTGGGGTGAACATCTTCAGGGAAAGGGCCAAAATTATATTTTCAAATGACATATATAAAAAGGGGCAAATCTTGTCTTTGAATTTCTTCTCCATTCATTTCCGAGGAATGGGTAGTCATCGAAGCCAAAATAAAACACAAACAGTGAGAGGTAGTAGTCAGCAGGGTCTACCCAGCCAGGCAAGAGGAAAGATACTCTCTCGTGACATTGGCTGGAAGTTGTGCAAAATATGTATCACATATTGGCGGAAGTTTGAGTCGGGTCCCAGTGTCTGAAGAGTCTACGAGCTCACCTCGCAACCGAAAAGTCCTGGGTTCGAACTCCGGTTGGTACGTACTGTCAAAGAGTCCTGAACCAGGATGAAACAGCTATCCAGTACTCCCAGGTTTTCCAATGGTTTCCTAACCGGTGTCATCGCGTGGTCAGCCTTGGAAAACAGGACTGTAGGATTAAAAGTCGAAATTTCTAAAAATCTATTATCATTCTACTTTTTCACTAGCTGCAAATACCGTATGTACTTTTTATATCAGCCTTTAATGATGTTTGAATAAAGGTGTTGAGAGTGTGGTACTTAGTAATGGAATCTGCATTAGAAAATGTGTGTTTAATATGAATTGATGAATTTGAGTGAAAAATTGCATATCATCTCCCAACATATGTGCCGTAGATTTGGACCATTTCGCTGTATCAAAAGTTGGGATTATTTATTTCGTATGGTTTGAACTGACTTGGCTTTCTAAGTTGAGTCAAACTGGGTGCATCCCTGGTTAGGTCGGGCCTAACCGAGCAAAACGGTTTGTCCAGTATGTAGACCACTTCGATCTGGTTGGCAAGAACTACTGGTTGATATGAGTGGTGTAAAACTACTCATCTCACTCAGTCAGTAGTAGGTAGTTTTATGCATTTATGCTTGGTTTCTTAATTTGTGTTTATGCTATCGAGTAGATCACGTGCATATTGTGATCTGAATGATTTCGGTATCCAAATGCAACTTCGTTGAAATAATCACCTTGAAATTGCCAACTAATATGCAAACTGCTAACCTGACTTCTGAAATTTACTGGAATACAATTTTTTTTACATATGCCCAATTTTCACTTAGTGTCCAAAATTGCTTGTGGATCTATTCGAATAAATCGTCATCAGAGTTCGTATACATTTGTTGTAACTGTTTGCCTTTTTTAAATGAGTCGGAATAATCATTCATTGTTGAAAAATTGTGGATGTCTCCATAATGATTTTGATGCCGACGTATTGTTATCTGACAGTTAATGGCTGGTAACAGTGAAAGTCGAGATGCACATTTAGTCTTATTTCAAAACTGTGCATTTTCATTCTCTTTTACTTGACGTCTAGAAATCATTTCATGAAGGAGACAAAAATATTTACTATGATTACTTGTTCCTTGCGTTCTGAGTGAAATAGAGGCCTTCAAGTTTGCGGCATTGAAGTTTCAATAGCGTTGGAGTTGTTTCCTACAGAGTGTGGTTGCTAATCTCACACTCAGCGTTCCCTCTTATTCAGGTGTGCGTCGCCCGGAGTGAATGTGTAGTTATAAGCAATCCTTATTCAATATGAGCTGAATAATATTTTAAAATATCTGTTTAGTAAAAAATGTCATCGGCATGAAATATGCACTTGACCAGTAGTCTTTGCCTCTATAACACAATTACCATACCAGTTTGAAAACATTTTGGTAATTCTACTTAGTGGATGAAAGTAATATATCAAAACGAGTGATTCAGTGAAGAGACTCTTTTCAACAACAAATTTATCAAGCTGTACAACCATATATATATATGGTTTTTAAGAAATTATATGCGGCGAGGGAATTGAGTCATAGGCGTGAATGCATAAAATAATAATAGTAGTATGAAATGCATTTGGAATATTTTTAATCATAATCAAAGTTAAATGTCAAGTGTGTGCGTCGGTGGCACAGCAGTATAGTGCTCGCCTACCACGCATGTGCTCTGAGGTACGATCCCCGACCGACGCACTCCTTTACCTCGCTAAGCCAGTGATAAAACTGGTAAAGAGGGAAGGTTGGGTATGAGGCTAGCAACCCCATCCCGTAAAAAGTAAACAACACTGCTACCGAAACTTCAGGCCTGTAACTTGAAGCCCTATGTTCCACTGGGAAAGTAAAGGAATAAAAAAAACAATAAATGTCAAGTAGCAAAATAATTCATGTCATGTAGAGAATAATTCATAAGATGTATAAATGTTGGAAAGGGGTGTATAATTATTATAGGATTAGTAGGCTAATATGAAATGTTACATAACATGATAGGCAATTTGACAAGATAGGATTCAACATTGCAAAAAAATCTTTTCTGATTAAGAATGACAAGTGGGACAAGTGGAAACAATTCAAAGTGAGAATAATAATAATAATGATGATCGTAGTAATGAGGAAAAGGTACATAAATTGAATAAATAAATAAATGTCTATACGTCTACATCCAAGGCAGAAGTAGTGATTGTACATAAAGGTCTGGCTTAAATTTTCGAATGACCAAGGCCTCCGCTGTCTTCAGAAGTCTATTACAAAGAAAACGTAGCAAGTTAGCATGGATTCGGTAGATGATCTTAGAATCGTGGTCAGGGTTGACACAGTGAGAGGAGTTGATTAGGTGTTCTAGGATAGGGCTTCTCACAGTCTTCCTATCTCCCTTGTAAAACTATGCTGAAATATGTTCCCGTATCCATGTGGAAAGCGTCCTCTGGCTACGGCTAATGCACCTTGCTCCACAAGAGCAGGTGAACTGGTAGATGCACATGGAGAGGGTCAGACCAGGGAGCTTATCTCTCACAGAGAAGGAGAACAACTTATGGCTAGTGAAAGGTCATTTGCAACAAAGGACTTCTTACTTACTGATTGATTGAGAGAGACAGTTTGTGAGCATATCTGAAGCTCGCTCACCTTTGAATTCCAAGCTCATGAATAAGGTTTACTTTGGAACTGAATCGGTGACCAGTTTGGACTGCTTATCACTTAAATCGGTTTGGGTAACCGTAGTTTGGATAAGCAACACTTAATGGTGATTATCATTGGATTAGTAAAAAGGTGGGCTAAACTGTATTATCCCGAGAATATGTTTAAAGTAAAAGGTTACAACTAATGAACATTCCGCTTCATACTGTTATGCCCATATGTATATATATATATATGTCACGAAATTCGCCTAACTGAATTATTTACTCATGTTGTTATCTCTAGAATTATTCTATTCATATTCTTATCTTTTATTGTTTACACAGACATTTATTATCATTAAACATTTATGTTGACTTCATTTCATCTATTTATAGGATATTACATTGACGTAGACTACTATTGCTACTATTCTTGTTATTACTATTGTCATGATGTCAGAGTTAACAATAATGCTAATAATAATAATAATAACAATAATAATCATTTAAACAAATACTGCAATTTCGATCATAAGTTGATAATAATAATAAGGGAATTATTGAAAACGGGCGAGTATTGGACAGATGTTTCACCTCAGTTTATGCTGGGGCTTTCGAGCAGTAACCATTCATGACCCCTTCAGGGGTCGAACCCAGAACTATCAGGTTTTCAATGGTTCTGTAGCTGTTATCATTTCGTGATCTAACTTAATATCAGTCAAATCTCTGAGTACCAGCACTTAGATTTAATGCATTAGTCTGTTGGTTTCTGACCTTTTCCCTATTACTGATGCATAGACTACTTCTATGAGAACAAACTACATTATATTATTATTCCGTTTGCTTCACCATATGGATATTGAATGAAGTTTATATCTTTTACGAGTTGATCACGGACTGATATCAGTTAGAGAACCATTGAAAACCAGGGAGTACTGGACAGCTGCTGTTTCATCCTAGTTTTGGGAATCATCGGCAGTACGCACCCACTGGGATTCGAACCCAGGACCTTCCGGTTACAAGGCAAGCTCGTATACCATTCAGCCACTGGGACCCGATTCAATGGCTCATGAATTCTAACTTCTACCAATTCGTGATTTTAGCGCGACCCCAACTATTGTCGTTGGTGGGACATCCATCCACACACGTGACTTCTAATTGGACCTCACTGGTCACGACTTCCCACTAGAACTCCAGGAAGCTCCAACCTGTAGTAAGTCACTAGCGAGCATCAGAATAATTTTCTTTAGTTTGGTTTGTAAGGATTAGTTATGTTTTTACGAGTTGATCACGGACTGATGTCAGTTAGAGAACCATTGAAAACCAGGGAGTACTGGACAGCTGCTGTTTCATCCTAGTTTTGGGAATCATCGGCAGTACGCACCCACTGATATCAGTCCGTGATCAACTCGTAAAACATAACTAATCCTTACAAACCAAACTAAAGAAAATTATTCTGATGCTCGCTAGTGACTTACTACAGGTTGGAGCTTCCTGGAGTTCTAGTGAGAAGTCGTGACCAGTGAGGTCCAATTAGAAGTCACGTGTGTGGATGGATGTCCCACCAACGACAATAGTTGGGGTCGCGCTAAAATCACGAATTGGTAGAAGTTAGAATTCATGAGCCATTGAATCGGGTCCCAGTGGCTGAATGGTATACGAGCTTGCCTTGTAACCGGAAGGTCCTGGGTTCGAATCCCAGTGGGTGCGTACTGCCGATGATTCCCAAAACTAGGATGAAACAGCAGCTGTCCAGTACTCCCTGGTTTTCAATGGTTCTCTAACTGATATCAGTCCGTGATCAACTCGTAAAACATAACTAATCCTTACAAACCAAACTAAAGAAAAGTTTATATCTATATATATTTGCGGCACTCTATAGCGTTGAAGCAGCTGCCGAAGGTCTTTACAAAGTCGATAAAGTTGAGCTGAAATGCAAAATTCAATGTAATTTTTTGAAAAAACCCTATCCTTTAGATTACTTAACATGATGCTGTTTCATAATAAAATATTTTTATTATTCCTTTGGATTCTGAGTGCAACATAGGGCTTCATTAGTGCATCGCCACTTTTTCGCGTCCGCTGAAGTCTTCTTTAGATAGCCTCACGATATTCTTAAGGCCCTTATCTTCTTCTTACATGTCCTTCTCCGTGTCACCCTAAAATACACGCCCATCTAGTCGTCTCCTACTGGGGTTCTACCCAAGGGTGTGACGCACGACGTAAGTCGGCCTTCTTAGCCTGTGTCCATCTCCATTTTCTACGGATTATCTACTGAGCCACAGGTTCTTGATTGGTTCGTTCCCAAAGTTTCCTGTTGGTAATTCTTTCTAACAATTTGGTCTTCAATATGAGGCTGAGGCAACTACTGATGAAAGTTTTCAGTAACCAGTTGGAAATGCTTTCTGTGACGGGCCAAGTTACTGACTTATCCTAATGTGATTAAGATAAATAGGTATACTTAAATCCATTATTAGTAGTAATAGTAGTAGTCTTCCTTTGGTTACTGACCTTTGCACTGTAGCAGTTCACCTGTGTAAGATACAACTGATAACCTTATATGTTACCATTTTAAATTAGCACACGCTTTATTGTTACTATTGTTATTATTATTATTACTGTTATTTAGAAATGAAATATCTCAGAGAATAATTAATGAACCACAGCAACTAATGGGGAATACAACATCAGTTCAGCCTTCAAGTACTTCTGTTCAACCGATCTTTTATCGTAATACTTCACTGAGTAAGTACTATTGAGTGTAATACTATATCTTTTTATGACAAATACATACATACACATAGGTTTTATGATATGCATTCGTTCCTTGGGTTCTGACAGATCCCCATTTAGTCATAAGAAAAAGGCACAAACAGCGAAGGAAATTTTCTTTTCGACGATTCATTTTCATGAGCTGTACAATCGTATTTATAGTTAACAAAGAAATCTTTAGACCAATCAGATACTGGTAAATTTTGTCTTTGGAAAATTGTATTACATAATGTAAGGTGTAAGAAGGGATGGATCCGGATTTTCAACACCAATGTGAAGTCAGTGCTACTTTCTATATGGATCAGAGACTCGGCCAGCGTGTCATAAGGAGCATCTCAAACAAACTACAGACCTTCATTAACAGTTGTCTTCGCTCAATACTCAAGATCAGATGACCGGCCAGAAAAGATCAGCAACAGGGATCTCTGGCAATGAACGAACCAACCAGGAACCGATTGTGCAACAAATAGGCAGGAAGAAATGGAGATGGATTGGCTGGCCATACTCTGAGGAAACCATCAAGTGACATCACTAGACAAGCCATTGCTCGAGTGGAACCCGACCGAAAGGGAAGCGGCGAGTTGGTCGTCAGTGCAAGGGTGGCTTGGAGGAGGTCGTGTGAAGAGGAGATGAAAACGTGTGGGCAGACATGGAGCCAGGTGAAGACTCTGGAAGAGAACAGAACGCAATGGGGACGCACGGCTGAAGCCCTATGTTCCTCTAGGAATTAAAGGATACAATAATAATAATAATAAGGGATGACTAATTGTAAGTTAGAAAGGAGACAGAAGTTGGCATGACGTAATAAGTGTGAGATAATGACAAATCAATAAGCTCGTGTATAATGGACAGAAACCAGTGGGAAGGCGATAAAGTGTTTTTTGTATAAAATCTGTATGAAAAAGGAATGTTATTAATAGACAGTAATAGAGTGATAATAAAATGTGGATGATGGGAATAATAATGATAATAAAAGTATTGATAAAATGAAATAATAATAGTGAACTTACATAATAAAGGAATGAAATAAAATTGTGGTGAGAACTTTACTCTGGCCATGGTAGGGCGAGAGAATGTATGTATCGCTTTTGGATGCAGAGGTCCGATTTCAGACCTCGAATAACTAATGCTTCACCTATGTACAGAAAGCCTATCCTAAGTCCCTTTGTACGATATTGAGGGACTCTGTGTAACACTGTGAAGCATTAATGCATGTGGGGGTGCTCGATGTCCAGAGATGACAAGGTGTTCGAGGATCGAGCTGTTGCTATTCTTCTCTTCTCCTCTGGCTAACCAAGCTGGACAGTGTTTCAGAATACGTTTATGGACTTGATGTTGCGTACGGCCGATATACTTTGCTCCACACGAGCAAGTAAATTGATAAATACACATCTTCATTGGATTCCGTTCTATTCTCTGTCATCATTTTTACCTGACTTCAAGGTTGTCAACATGCTTTCATTCCCTTCGGATATTATTCCCTCCATATTACTCTCAGATAACCAGTCTGTCGCTTCCCACTTGGATTCAACTGAAACGCCTCGGTGAAAGAATTTTCAATCTATCTCCATTTCCTTCTGCATAATTCTTGGACAGAGTTTCTTGTTGCTTATTTTTTCTGACTGACCATCCGATCTTTAGCATCTAAAAAACGCATCCATTGGTAAACGTGGGGAGCAGTCTGCTGGAAATACTTTCTGGGAGGCGCTTACCAAATATCAGTCAACGTAACTACCTAATTCCTCTCAATTTTTTTATTAAGTTCCCAGTGGAACATAGGGCTTCAACCTACAGGCCTGAAGTTTCGGTAGCGACGGTGTTTACTTTTTACGGGATGGGGTTGCTGGCCCAACCTTACCTCTTTACCAGTCTTATTACTGCCTTAGCAAGGTAAAGGAGTGCGTCGGTCGGGGATCGTACCTCAGAGCACATGCGTGGTCGGTGAGCATCCTACCGCTGTGACAGTGACGCACATTCCTCTCAGTATTCATGTGATATTCGGTCTTCGATGTCTTCCTTTCAATCTGTTGGTTTTTACTTGCAAATCTTTGGCTTTATTTGATAAAAGACATAAATTATGAACGACATCCAGATCTTTCGTCTTCTTTTGATTTTTGAGTTTAAGTATGACTTGATGGGAGAAGGGAGATGTAAACACTTGACAGTTGACTTTCTCTCATTTTACTCTCGACAGTTAAAGATTTCACAATTTGGACACACACCCAAACACTTAACGTGTGGCTCATAGTCTCAGTCAGACAGCGTGCATTGGAAGAATGACGAAACTCGTGAATTTATTAGATTTTGTAACTAACAATCAAACTAGCAACTTGTCAGGATGCCTAGCCTACCAGTTAAATAACAGTTAGGACTGTAATAGTACTTTTTCCCTGTTGCAATTAATGCTAATCATGATAATCATGGAACTTATTATATTTTTAATTTATTCTTCGATTACTTTCTTTCAGTCACAACAAGTGGAACAGCTTATAATGCAAATGAGTAAGTCATTGTAAACAATTAGATTTCTTTTTAAATAGAAATTTGTGTTAGGGTGATATGTTCAACCTCTCAATTTCATAGTGTTTAAAATCTTCAACTAAATAATATATATTCAGTTTTTAAATAATGGGACAAAAATCTTCGTCATTTCACTGCCGGAAGTTACTGATACTAGATGATGTACTGACTGAAAGGGGGCTGATCACACTTTTATTGCAAATCATCTTTTGTTTGAGCTTCTTTTCGCAGCTGTTATATGAATGACTGATAAAAGTGACTGCCTCTCCCTTCAGCATCATCAAGCTTTATGATCAGCCAAGTCTTCTGATTATAGAAGGAACGAAGGATCACTTGTCACTGACGCTATTATGTGGGATGGTTTCAATTTGGTAAATAGTTTCTGTGTAATGCAGTTGGTATCAAATTTAAAGTAAAACGCGGCAAAAGTAAATAACTTGCATCATAGAAATAAGCAGAAATTTTTCTGAAAGGTGATTAATTTTTCACCAGCAACAACAACAACAGACAAAAATCAGCATAAATGGGAAAAATCTGAAAGAAGCAACCTCCTTTGCCTACTTACTACAGGCTGATAGAACTAACGAGGATATCAAAGCCAGGATCGGGAAAGCAAGGCAGGCTTTCATTACTCTCAAGTTTGTGTGAAGGTCAACAGCACTCAGCATGCGGATTTTCAACTCCAATGTGAAGTCAGTGCTACTTGCTATACGTATCAGAGACTTGGCTCGTTATTAAGGTCACTTCGAACAAACTACAGACCTTCATCAACAGCTGCCTTCGCTCAAAACTACTCAAGATCAGGTGGCCGGCCAGAAAAGATCAGCAACAGGGATCTCTGGAAATGAGCGAACCAACCCACCAGGAAGCAGCTGTGCAACAAATATGCAGGAAGAAATGGAGGTGAATTGGTCATACTCTGAGAAAACAAACCATCAAGTGACATCACACAACAGGCCATTGCTCGATTGGAACCCGAACGGGAAGCGGTGAATTGGCCGTCAGTGCTAGGGTGACATGGAGGAGGTCATGTGAAGAGGAGTTGAAAGCATGTGAGCAGACGTGGAGCCAGGTGTAAAGGTTTGCGGTGGACTGAACGCAATGTAGACGTGCCGCTGAAGTCTTATATATCTCTAGGAACTAAAGGAGATAATAATAATACAGTACCGACTACACTGCCGCAGTTTAATATATCCGTGTCACTACAATAGATATCAAGTATTATACATCACATTTGTCACTACCTTATTACCACTGCTGTTAACTTGACTTTTGTTCAATTTTAATTCTAGCTGATCCCTACTCAACCCTGTCAATTATATTACGTCATTGACTTTGCTTATTTAATTCTATTTTTAGTTTCAAACTCATTTGGAATTTCTAAATTGCGTAACTTGTCACATAAAATTTACAATCCTGATGAAAAATCTTTGGAAATATTGATTTTGTTGCTAAGAAAATTTACTATATATATATATATATGATTGTACAGCTTGAGAATTATATCGCCGTAAGGAGTAACTCTTCGCTGAGCACCTTTTCTTTTGTATGAGTGCTGAGAATTTCTAAGTTTCTGCATATTGGTTGGGCAGTAGGTCGTTGACTTTCTCATTGCCGAAGTTTCTTGGTGTTTATTCTTTCTGGTCGGTGATCTGGTCCTCATTACATGGGCTGTGATGCCATCTGTTGATGAAAGTCCACAATCTAGTAGTTCAAACCTTACTTTGAATAATACATGATATTGGAACACTTTAGACTCTGAAAGGAAATAGGTGAATGTTTTTGATTGTCATTACTTTGTGTTTTTTATTTGCATCACGTTTCATTGAGACTTATGTGGATAAAACTGATAGTAATTTTTACAAATTAACTAATAGTATGGTAATACGATAAATGAGGTAAATTAAATTCTTAATTTGAAAATTAGTTGACACCTTGAAATGTACACACTTCCAGAGGTGAAATTTTCACTAGAGTTGACTTTGGAAAGCAAATTATTCAGATCACAATATCAGCGTGACCTGCTTGATACCGTGAACAGTAACCAAAAAGGCAGGCGTAAGCGGTTGAGATGAATTAATTGAATTTTAGATTTTCCCGTCGATTGATTGGATCGAAGTGCTTGGTTTCAGGTTGACATATCGGCTTCTTGAGCAGATGCTTAGACGATGTCTAGGCATTTGATTAGTATTTAATTGGTGGATGGTGACTAGCAGTGGAATCCAGGATGCACATTTCGTCCTATTTGGGACTCGTCAGCTGGATGTAAATGCATTTCTCAGTGAGTGATGGTGCTTCCACCGAGGCTCGAACCCAGTGTCCATAGTTTCAAACGCCAAAGCATTATCCACTAGACCACTTGGGTCACGAGAGCCACCTCTTGTGCAACGGGTCATATTGATTTAATTGAATTTTAGATTTTCCCTTGCGACTGATTGAACTGAAGTGCTCGGTCTCAGGTTGACATATCGGCTTCTTGAGGAGATGAATACCAGTATACCATTTAAATCAACCAGGAGTGCTAGCCAACCAGATCGAGGTGATTTAAACACATCAAATGGCGGTTTAGCTTGTTTGAAGCATAAATTAACCGCCCACCATCATCATCATCTGTTTTGGCTCTGTAAGCTGAGTGAAACCCAGTACGCCTTTAATGAATTCTTCTCTAAACGAATGAAACGGCCGTCTCGTGTCTTAATCACCTCGAGTGGTATACAAGTAGTCATCCCAGTCAATCAGTAGTATGTATAGTTTTATACAGATAAGTAAAATGGCTAAAAAGAGAATTATTCAACTAATAATGAGCTGTATGATGTCATACACTGTAGAAAGATGACGATGTGTTCAGCTGTTTATTCTGCAAAACTTAAGGATGATCGCCTTAGGCATTATTGCTTTACTTCCGAAGGCATTCGGATTTGTCCGCATTTTTACTATCCAGATTCTATAACCAATATGATGAAAGTAGACATCGCTTATCACATGTGAAAGAAAAATAATCAATACTTTCTCCTTCCCAACACACTTGACATCTGTTCTCATTTATTACATTTTTCTGTTTATTTTATGATGGATTGTGTTGTGTTTTATGTGTTTTACATCCTTCTTTTTTTACCTTAGTTAATCGAATGTATATATATATATATATTGTGTATGTGAATAAGTGCGGTAACTCCTTATTTTATGGCCACCTATTTGTATATATATATATATATATATATATGTATATTCTATTTATACATGTTTTGCAATACAAGGGAATTCATACGAATACACATATGCATGTATATTAATATACTGTAACTAGTAGATGGAATTGTACATACTTCCCTCCTTCAGTTTTCTTCTTTTATCCCCTTGTGTATTACATATATATATATATACATTTATTAGAAAATTTCACTTTTTCTCTTAGCCAGTATTTCTTCTCTCTTGACAAAAAGCTGAAATTCAGATGGATTTTCCGAATATTCGTACTAATATATCAATAAAAGTGTGATAGAAATATTTCTTAACTATGAGCATGTCTTTCTTTATAGTCTCATGTTCACTCAATATATACATATATATATGTGTGTATACTTCTGGGTAATGAGGAACAAACTAGGGGAAATCAAGCAGGCTTTAGGCCAGGTAGAGGGTGCATAGATCATATCTGTACTCTCCGACAGATCCTAGAACATAGACACACTTTTAGGTGTCCAACAATTGCCATATTTCTTGACTTGAAGGTGGCCTTCGACTCCGTGGATCGAAAGGTACTATGGCAATGTTTGATTGTGAAGGGAGTGCCAAGAGAGTACACTACACTAATCAGGGCACTCTACTCAAACTCACGTAGCCGTGTAAGGGCTTATGGGGAATTGTCATCTAAATCGTTAACAACCAGTGGTGTCCGTCAAGGATGTCCACTTTTCCCATTTCTGTTTAACTTCATCATAGGTATGCTAATGAAAGTATCCCTAACTGAACTTAACGACTTAGGAATCGACTTGTTACCAGGGAATAGTCTTATGGACTTAGAATATGCAGATGACATTGTCCTGTTAGGGGAGGATGCTGACAAAATGCAGAGTCTTCTGAACACCTTGAGCAGCAACCTTCGTATGTTTGGCATGCGATTTGCCCCTGTGAAATGTAAGATGCTGCTACAGGACTGGACTACGTCAACTCCTAGCTTAGTGATAGGGAGTGAAGTGATAGAACATGCTGACCACTTCACCTATTTGGGAAATTGTATCAGCACCAACGGATTGATTGGTGACGAAATCTCAGCACGGATCCAAAAAGCTTGAGTTGCTTTCGCTAACTTACACCATCACTGGCGTAGGCGTGACATCCGGCTATCAACCAAGGGACGTGTGTACTGCTCAGCAGTTCGCTCCGTCCTTCTCTATGGCTCTGAAACATGGCCAACACGAGTTGAAGACATGAAAAGGTTGACTGTTTTTGATCATCGATGTTTACGATCTCTTTCTCACGTTAGGTGGTATAATAAGGTAAGTAATGTTGACGTTAGGCGTAGAGTGTTGGGCAAAGAGGGAAAATCAATCGACGAGGCTATAAAGTTACACAGAATGAGATGGCTAGGTCACGTGCTGCGAATGCCTAACCATCGCCTCATCCGAGGGGCATTACTAGCTGATATAGGTGTTGTGGGTTGGAAAAGAGTAAGTGGTGGTCAAACAAAAACATGGCATCAATCCATGAAATCCTTGACAGTTAAACTGAGTCAGGTAGGGAGATGCAGATTTCCGGGTTGGGGCCCTCGGGACTCTAAGAATCAATGGCTGGAGACAATGGGTGACATGGCTGAAAATCGTTGTCAATGGCTTACGCAGATGTATTCAGTCTCTGTAATCTTTCATATTCCTTTCTACCATTACTCATTCTGTTTCACTCTTATACTTGTCAAAACTCTATTGATTCTCTCCACTCATTTTCTTGTCTACCTCTGTGTGCTATTTGGAACGTGGCAACTCGAACTGCTGCACTTCGGTGCCAAGTTCTGTGTTGAATCCAGACAGGCAGACTTCTGGGTAATATAAAATCAATAATGCCATTTAAGAATCCCATGATATACAATATGTCAAGATGTACTCGATTGTTATTTCATTTCTTCTTTTCTCAGTCAGTGAAGTTAACATATATGACGTTGTAGAGGTCGACCTCAGGGTCAGTATAACATGAGGTAGTCAGAATTCACCTATTTGCTTTACAGTATATGCTTAATTATGCTAAAAATTATGATTAAAACAGAACAAGCAGATATCTTTGATATACGGTTTTTTCAATAGCCTTGAGTTCTGACTGAAATTTAGATTTAAAGCCACTAAGCTCTGAAATTTCACTACCAGTGGTGTCGTTTGTTTTTCTGGAGTGGGGTTGGTAGCCTCACGTACAAACTTCCTTGTTTATGAGAATGTGTTGGCCAGGAGTTGAACCTGGACCTTCTACATGGCTGGTGATTTATTTATTTAATTGAAGTCTCGGCGGTAACACCGTCACTCACTGGGGAATGCAGGTACATCCAGATGACGAGCCCCAAATAGGACGGAATGTGCGTTATCCTGAATTCCGGCGCCAGTCACCGTCAGCCAATTGACTTCAAGTGACGTGAGGAGACATCGTAGAAGCATCTGCACATTGAGCATTTCAGTCCAATCAGTCGACGGGAAAATAGTGAAATATGTCTTATTCGGAAAACTTAAGACTCTTTGTTTTATGTACATTTCGAAAAGTAAGTAAATAAGTGGGCAGTGGTGATTTTCTGGAATTGCCAGTATTATGGGTTTTGGTGACATTAAAAAAAGACGTCATGTCTGTTTACAACCTATTTAATAAATACCTCATTGCTTCTATTGTAACGTCTAAAATCACTTCAAGAAGCAGAAGAAGAAACTTGTATTTACACTGTATTCACATAATCGCATAAATAATTTTCTGTAATATTAAAATCTGTATGCAACAATGTTATCAGCATACTTATATGTTTCTTTACTACTTACCTCTAGGCCTAATCTTCCATCTGATGCAAAATATCCAGCATATGCAACAACAGATTCTACCCAACCAGCATCAAATGAATTTGAGTCGAAAATTAATGTCAAGATTAATCGGTAGGTTGATGTTTGGCGTCATTAATTTAACTGACTGGTTACATTTTCAGTGGGTTGATTTGTCCCAGAATCAAAATAATAATCCCATATTGTCTCAAACATTTTAGTTGTAATATAATACCAATAATAATAACAGCTTTTAGAGGACAAAAGGACTGAGCGAAGAGATTGATTAGTCATTTTCTCACACTTGTTACGTCATCCCAACTTCCACTCCTTTTGTAATTTCCAATTAGTCACCCCTTCTAGATTACACCTAACATTACGTATTACGTTTTTGAGGACAAATTTCTTCAGTATCTTATTGGTCTTCTGAATTCTTTCTAAGATATTATTAGGATTGTACAACTTCTGAAAATGAATCGTGGAAAACAAAATTTCCTTCACTGTTTACGTCTTTCTCATATGCATGTATTATATATATTGTATATATATATATTGCATGGAGGATCTCATCATGAGCTGACATCAATCAGAGAGCCACTGGGAGTACTGGACAGCTGTTTCGTCTTAGTTTGGGACTCTTCACAGTACGCACCCTCCGGGGTTCGGACCCACGACCTTCTGGTTACAAGGCGATCTCGTATACCATTAAGCCACTGCGATCCGATCCAATGGCCAGCCAATGAATTCTAACTTCTGCCAATTCACGACATAGCGCGACCATTTTGCAATGTCTTCTTCGATGAGTTACTGCCTCATTTGCAACCTGCTATAAATATATATATATATTAAATCAGAACCACATATGAGGATCTATTTGAAAAGTAAATATCTCTTTGCTCAGTCCTTTTGTCTGCTAAAATTCCATATTAATTTCTTTATGGGATATACCATGCACAGTGAAGCAGTATAATTTACTGGATGACAAAATTTCTAACACAATTTATTACTGTTCACAATCAAATCATCAATTGTGACTACACCACCTTGAAACTTGGATTTTATAATTCACTTTATTCCTTCCCAATTAATCTTCGGGGTAGTAGAATTTTCCAGATGTCTGGGAAAAGTGCTGAATCATTTCTATTACACATGTTTTCAGCTGATTCGAGAAATAAAGCTTCCATTATCAACCTTTTTCTCCACCCAATTCTGTTAGATTTTAAGACTGTCATCTTGCCTCAGTCTATTGTATTGTTGTGTGTAATTGCATGTAGTGCCATGTCTGGGTTGTTTTCTAAATTTCTAGTCTTGTTAAGGCAATTATTCTAGATTTTTCTAAGTTTTGGTGCCCTGCTAGTCTAATTTCAATAAATATTTATAAAAATGTTAGAAAATAAAAATTAATGCTTATTTCAGGTCACTGCATATATGGACTGTGACTGTATTGTCTTACACGTGAAACTTTCACTTTGTCTATTCACCTATAGAAGATTGGATCAAATAGAGATTGTTATGAGTTAGTGATATGACAATGTATTTCACAGTTCGGCAGACAAGTACAGACGTTAATTTTGCATTTAACATTGTATCACTACTTAAAATACCTTCTTGACTGGCTTGTAGTTTGAAGATGCTTTACAAAAGCTGTAAACACATCATCTCTCTTGCTTCTACGGACACCGATTGATTAGGTGGTCAAGACATGCTTATATGAAAAGCCTGAACTTGTTGAAAGTGAAGAAGTGAATTAATCAGACTTAGACTGAAGAGGATAAAATGCCTTACATATATTCGGCTGAATTTATGGCAGTAATTCTTGTATGCGCAGAGAAATTTTAAACTTCCTGCCAAAACATTAGTCCTGAGAAATGAGACCCACAAAAATGGAAGTATGAGGATGAATGCTCACTAATGACATTGGCTAGTGGTGGTTCTATATAAATAACAAGTTTACAGGAGTTAGAATTCATGAACCATTCATTGGATCCTGTCTCAATGACCAAATATTCAACGATCTAGCTGCTTCGTAATTTGCTGAAGATTTTTGAACTAGAAGGAAACGGTTAACCAGTACTCCGTGTCGATTCTCAATGATGCTGTAACTGAAATTAGTTCGTGATGTACTTTGATAGTGAAAAAGATTAAAAATCAAGACTGAATCAGTTGGCTTTTCTATCATGTACTCCACTTAGGTTTTTTCATACATTTATTCCCCTTAATAAATTTGAACAAAGCAACAACTACAGTTTTAGCAGAATAAAATGGTACCATCTTTTATTTCGTCGCCTTCTCGTCAGCTACTTACAAGGCAAAAACATTATTCAATGTATATATAAAAAGAATTTAACACACTTGCACAGAGTTCATTTAAAACAAACAAATAATAACTATAAAGACATGTCGTCTTGTTTAATTCTTTCAAGCGAAATGACTGTCGATAATCGTGCTTAAAGAAAGAATTATGGAAAATGTTTTCGTAACCATATACAAACAAAATTCACCATTGTCATTTTACACAGTTTGAAGTGAAATTTCACCTTATTTTCCTCTTATGACTGCATTTCTATTCCTTCGGGTTCTGAGTGGAAAATAAGGTTTTAACAACACAACTACACTTCGTTCTATTTCATACCGTCCTCTTCAGCTGGCTAGCTCCCTGACTGCTCATAACCTCTTATCTCCTCCTCCCCAGATAATTTACTCCATATCACCGTCGCACCGACAACCCACTCGTCACTTCCCATTCGTGTTCCATTTGAGCAATGGCCTGAATTGAGTGCGATGTCATTCGATGGCCTTCTCAACGTATCCCCGATCCATCTAAATTTTTTCCAACATATTTGTTGAACGATAGGTTCTTGGTCAGTTTGTCCCCACAGTTTCGTGTTGCTAATTCTATCTGGTGAGTGATTTGATCTTCATTACGGAGAGAAGCCAGCTTCTGACAAAGGTCTGCAACCTGCTAGAAATGTTTTCCGTGACGCTGGTGCCAAGTCTCTCACCCATTAGGAAGAAGTAACTGACTTCACATTTGTTTTGAGAATCCGAATTTTGTTGATTATGCTACTCAATGGAGGAGATTTCCAATTTTATCTCAGAATGGTGAAGGTCTGATTAGCCTTTCCGATTCTGCTTTTGACATCTTCATCCGTTCCGCCTGTAGTTGAAACAATACTTCCTAGATAATTGAAGGAAGTGGCCTATTTCGAATTTCTCCCATTGATGGTCATTGGCATTGGTTGTCGCTGCTGTCGGTTGGTTGTCTTCATCGTCTCCGTTTTCTCAATGTTCACCCAGATTCCTGTCTTCTCTTTCACCTTCTTCTGCTAGTTTGTTTGTATTAGCCTTCGAGTCTTCGAGTTTGTGTGACATTAAACACAAATCATCCATGCGCGAAATCTTCTCACTCCCCACATTTTCCTGAGGAAACTGAAATTATTCAAATCTAAATAGACGATTTCATCGAAACGATAGGTGTCTATAAAGAAAATAAGCATAAATAAATGATACTGTATACTACTGATTGATTGATATGACTGGCTGAACACCATCCACATCGAGCAGTAGTTCTTGCTAGCCAGATCGAAGTGGTCTAAATACCGTAAGGCTATTTCGCTCGGTTGGTCCCGAGCTTATCAGCAGAATACCCTTGTTAGATTCGGTTTCTTGAAAAGAGACTATGGTAAAACTTCATCTCGATGTATGTTAACTGGCAAATAGTTTGTTAATTGAGAATATAACTTAACTTATCACCAATTCTCTTGAGTAGCTACCCACAATTCGGACAATGTGAGCTGGTTAAACTCCTCGGGCTGAATCAAACCGAGTACACCGCTGATGAGCTTGGCCGGAAACCAGCGAGCGGAATATCTCGGGTTTAAATTATTCCTACCTGGTTGATTTTAGTGGTTTATAACTACTCATGTCAATCAATCAATAGAAAAATAGACAAAGTAATTTTTGAACAAAAATCCTGCCAAACTCATTAAATATTCATGCTACTTTGATTTTAGTCGAAGTCGTCGTTTCTTTGTGAAATGTGTAGGTGTGGCTGTGATGTCAACAAATGCATGTGTGTGTGTGAGTGTGTGATTTTGTACCAAATGTAATTGCAGTGATTTCTATGAATGATAGTTTTCAAATAAATAAATAAATATTTATATGAAAAATAACTATTCCCTCTATTCCCTCCCCCTCCTCATCCTATCCTAAATAGTTGTAGTCACTTAATTTAACTGAGTAAGTCAATTTTGGAAATCAAAAGTTTATTAATATTATGTTAATATAACAGGATTTAGTGAATTCATCAAATTTCGGTATAACGTTTCAGCTGAATACTCCATATACAGTGATATATATACATGATTGATCAGTAAATACACTACAATGAATTTTTTTTCCTTCACGTTCCCCAGTGGAAGATAGGGCTTCAAGCTAGAGGCTTGAAGTTTCTGTAGCAGTGTTTATTTTACAGGATGGGGTCGCTAGCCTCATGCCCAACCTTTCCTCTTTACCAGGTTTATCTCTTCCTTATCGAGGTAAAGGAGTGCGTCGACCGGGGATCGAACCCCGGACCACGTGCATGGTCGGCGATCGTCCTAACGGCTATGCCACCGCCGCACATGAATTACAACGAATTAGTCTTCGTAAATGACAGATACGAGTGTTTTACAGGTAAAGTACAAATGGTTCAAGGGGAAGGCGTATGAGAGATTAAAAATCTAAAATTATAACAGATTACGGTTCAGTTGCATCACCTAAATAAACAATTAGTCATCACAGAGAGAAATTGAAAATGCCAGGGATTGCAAACTGAATAATAATAATAATAATGAGACGAGTTAAGATAATGGTCTTGACAATAGATGAGTCAAGAATAATTATAAAAGATGGGATAAAATATTTTAATAATGATAATAGTTAATAGGTAAAAGTTGATATCATGTTGGGTTCATAATGACCAACAGGTTTATGAATTTTTTAATTATGCAAGCCTCTCCAAGTGTATACATCTTTGTGTTTGTTTATCTGCTGACAACAAATGAATGACTTGATGGCGTCAACATCATGTTTACGGTCTATAAGATGCCTTGTTATTGAATTTTGTTTGGCACTTTGACTTGAGCTTTTTCAACCACTCCACCATGTTATCCTAATGACTTTAATGTGTGCCGGTAGCACAGTGGTTAGGACTCTCGCCGACCATGAACATGGTCCGAGGTTCGATCGCCTGCCGATGCACACCTGATATCTATGGTCGGCCTGCAAAATTTGGGCTACCGATATCACATGCTGAACATTCCATACTTGTACCAAAAATACGGGGTGAAATCAAGCTATAATCAAAAATAAAAAAACAACCATGCTCCAATGTAATCTTAATTTTTTAATCTCTCATACCCTTTTGATAGTTGTCTATATCAACTTAGTCTGTTAAAGATTAGTACTTACCGATTCGCATAATTGACTCACACTAGTTTGTTTGTCAGTCTCATCATCTATATAATTCCCGACTGTGGTTAACTGGATCACGAGGCAGATCGTGGGGGGAGCGAGAACGAGACAGGCATACGCTGGACCAACGAAAAGACATCGGCAGATTATATCAGACGTCACACAGACTGGAATATCTACAGGCGAAAGCCAACAAGTAACCAAAAGAACCATTAAAGACAACACTTGGGGAAGGCAGGTGATGCAGTTGCCTAACCAACAACTGCGAAAACAAGCATAAATCACTATCAATGCTAGAAATTTTAAGAAAGCTGCTACTTTTACCAATTCAGGCAGCATCGTTTCGACGACAATTGGGACTGATGCGGATGTCAAATCCAGGCAGGATTGAAGAAGCAAGATGGGCATCCATCATTCTGAAATCAGTGTTGAAGTGCGCTGCACTCAAAACTTAATATTAAATGAAGGGCTAGAAAGCATTCACAACAAGAAACTGTTGAAATTAACCAAGCAAGAACCTATCTGCTAACAAATATGCAGAAGTAAATGGAGTTGGATTGAACTTTGTGTGACATTCCGCGTCAGACACAGCTACGAGTTGAACCTGACTGGAAAACAGCTAACTGGAAGTTCCAGGGTGATGTGCAGAAGATCGTGTCTAGAGGAAATGAAAATTTGTCGGCAGTCGTGGAGCCAACTGTAATAGACTGAGGAAATGAGAAGGGAATGAGTGTGTGCTGTTGAAGGCCTATATATTCCACAATGTCTTTCTGATGAAATGTATGTATATATACGTATGTAGCCTAGCTTAGCTGAAGACGAGTTCTACGGAAATTTGATGAATTCATTAAATTCTGCTTTACTAATATTTGTTGATTGTTTTAAATTCATATCAGGAAATCTTTCCTATTTTTATATTATATTTTACCGTTGTTTTTGTGATCTTTTCGGAAAGATTTTTTTCAGTTTTTCATGTGTTTACATTCATCATAATTTACAGCAATGATATGTAGCATCATTATTTTTATTATTGATTTTTTTATTTTTCTTCCTGACTCTCGTTACAACAGAAATCTCCAACCGTTATATTCTAGTCTAATTGAATTTACTCCTGGCTATGAAATGAAATCGCTTGCTACAAATGCTCCTCCTCCTCCGCCTCCAGTACAGTATCCCATGTGTTCATCAACAGTCTGTTCGAGTCAGCATCCACATGTCCAACCACGTTATCATCCTCCGCATGCTTACTGTTTCGATGCAAGAAGTAGCTATCCTGCGGGTGTGGCTCCTGTTTCTGCTAACGATGATGAACATGATGTCGACGGTAATATCAATGGAGACAGCGTCAACAAGTGTTATTATCATCATCATTATTATTGTCATCCTCATTGCGATAACAATCATTTACATAACACTATGATACCAATGAATCCATATCATGTAAATGGGACAGGTATGGTATTTCATCGTCCAAGAGGATGTAAAACTGTCACAGATATTGGTGACCACCCTCATGTGTAAGTTATTCATATTATAGCCAATTTGATTTTCTTTATTTCACGGAGTCTATATTGATAGAGTTCACTGTTACTCAGCACTTATTATTTATCGATTGACTGATTGACTTGATCTCAAACTTGGTTCCATGTGGTCACCAGGAGATGAGTCACAATACAGGTTTCAGTTGTTTGTCTTTCTGTCATTTGTGTTGGAATTCACATGCTACCCAGATATCCACACTGAAGCCAGCAGTTTCATGAGATGCTTTCCTATTATTATTATTGTTTCCTTTAATTCCTAGAGGGACATAGGGCTTCAGCCGTGCGTCTCCATTGCCTTCGGTTCTCTGCTAGAGTCTTCACCTACCTCCGTGTCTGCCCACACGTTTTCATCTCCTCTTCACATGACCTCCTCCAAGCCACTCTTGGACGACCGACTCGCCGCTTCCCTTTCGGGTTCCAATCGAGCGATGGCGTGTCTAGTGATATCACTTGACGGTTTGTTTTCTCGGAGTATGGCCAATCCATCTCCATTTCTTCCTGCCTATTTGTTTCACAATCGGTTCCTGCTGGGTTGGTTTGCTGCCAGAGATCCCTGTTGCTGATCTTTTCTGGCCATCTGATCTTGAGTATTGAGCGAAGACAACTGCCGGTAACCAAAACCAGTTGGTATGCTGCTCAATTCCATACGATTCTGCGGCCTGTTTCGCATCACAGACTTGAAGTTAGGGCTTTTCATACCACCCTCTATCGGATCTCCTCTCTGAAGATGATTCCTGGATATGTAATGACATTTCTTGCTTCATAAAGATAGTGAATCTGAGTTACCTATGAGAAGATATAAACGCCGCACCAGATAAGGTATGGTAATGGTGTAGTTTATGCCATCATCCATTAACAGCAACAGTGATAGTAATTTCAATTTTGTCATAATCTGTAGATATTTTATTGGTTATTGTAATAATCTGAATATCAATCACCTGTTCACTGGTGGCTACTAGGTGGATTTACTAATTCTGCGTTGGGAAGTCATTATCAAGGGGTCCCGCCAAGTCAAGGTTTGCTGGATACCTAATCAAAGGCATTGGTTTGGGTAGCACTATATCAAAAAAGTGACAAAGTCAAAATTCAGGGGTCACTAGATTCCAGCTCAAGCAGCTGAATGGCCAACGAGCTCGGTCTTGTAACCTGATGGTTCAGGGTCCTACCCCTCCTGGTGGACTCTCTGGTGACCACTGATGAGGAGTCCCCAAATAGGACGAAACAACCGTCAGACATTGAAATGACACGAAATCCACTTCCCTTCCTCCCTTCTTCTTCCATTTCTTCGTCATGTAAATGGATTTCAGTTGGTTTTCACTTGTATTCAACGTGTAATGCAAATCATTTGTATAAATGACTTTCTTCATCTGAACTTTTGTACACATTTTTGCATTTGTATGAACTTGATCCATGCATGTATCTATTTTCGCATTGTGTTAACAGATACTCGAATCGTCGATCACATTATCTGCAGACAAGTTATGCAAGTGGACGTTGGATTGCTAACGACAATCATAGTAATGCTAGTCAGTGTAGATTAAGACATCGTCGAAAATCTTTTCCAAAAACTAAACATTATTACATTGATGAAGATATTGACGGGAATTACTATATGACCAAAGTTCCACCACCATATCATGATGATGATGACAATGATGCTTGTGGCGGTGATTGTCGTGATGGTGATGGAGACAGTGATAATGATGGTGACGGAGATGTCGATGATGATACTGCTGATTTCCGTCGTCATCATCATCTGCGTACAACTCGTTCGAAATCTGCGTCTATATACGGCCAACAAGAATTTTATCAAGCTAACCACCGCCCACCTTGTTCATTATCATCATCATGCAGACAGAGGCAAAACCGTCATCCAGTCATACCTGAATATCATCATTATCGTCGTCAGCCTAGAATTCTACCACGTCCAGTTAGTCGATTGGATAGATATCCAGAGTTATCCTCATCAATAAATGATGTTAACAATAAAAGTGACAGTCAAGAGACAGTTGAAAATTATGATGGTGGTAATAATAATAACGATAATGACAGATTACGTTGTCACTTCAATGAATCAGCGAATTATCAAGCACCCCATTTAAAACAGAATAAGTTAAATGGTGTAAAGAAATGTGAAGTTCTTCAAGTATGCTCTGCTAGTCGACAGTCATCAAATGAGAATTATTCTCCAAGAGATAATCAGTTCACCTCATCTAGGTAACAAAAGTTTGTTTTTGTTGTTTGTTTTTGTGTTTTTGACAGATTGTGTCAGGTTAACATTAATGGCTGTCTGTACCGGTTATCTGTGCACACAAAGCTTCGGTTGTTTCTAGAGAATTGCAGTTGTCTCTGGTGTTTGTAGTATCCGGTATCCAAAGGCCTTTGTTAATTTATTAGATACCTGATAGGTGCTAAAAAAGACTCTTTGGACGAGGCGATCTAATATAGGACTGTTGGTGGATATTACTAAACCTTTGTCTGGCCACACCGGTAGTTGTTCCTGAGAACGAAGAATTATTTTCCTAGAGCAACTGCCAATATAACGGGCTTCAAAGGAGCAAGTGAATTGATTGATGCAGGAAGAGATGGCTAGCCTAGGTACTTCGCCTTTCAACTGTAGAATCACGACCGGTTGAGCGGAATATATAAGATGCACCCTACCCGTGTTAAATATTCTTTGAGTTGATTTTCTCAACTTGTCGGTTATTATTTCACTTGATATGTCATCTTTGAATTGTGGTCTTATATACGGAGGCTTCTAGCTAACAGATACAGAGGAATTCTTTTATAATTTGTTAACCATTTGTTTGTTGATGAATTTTTCAGTTAAAGTGCCGTATGCGAAATTAGACTCGTCTTCAATTGCATCTTCCAAACAAGCAGCTGTGACCGTTGTAGCTGAGTGCTTTTACCAAATTTCTCACACAAAAGACAGAGACAAAGCCATGAAGTCAGTATTGGAGGTTATGCTCCCATCATCTTTTAGGTGCTTATTAAAATTACCAAAGGCCTCTAGGTACCGAAAACTCCAAACATCAGAGGTCATTGCGATTCGTTAAAAGCAACCGAAGCTATGTGTGCAGAAGTAACCGATACGGCTACCCTGACCTGACCTATGAATTCATTAATTCTGTATTAAATCCCTTAATTTATCTGAAATTCAATTTGGTGTTTTTTATGTTGAAGTATGTTACCATTTATAGGTGCTTTAGAACTGTAATCTCCCGTTTCATATTCATTCAGTGTTGCTTGAAACAGTTATGTTGTTAACATCAATAATTCTCCAATTACTATGATTACATAATAATGAAGGCTGACTCATTTATCGGAAAGAAAATTCTTTGCTTGCTAAAATTAGTACGGTTTTTTCAAAATTTTTAATGGACATCTTTAACCAGTTAGAGTCGTTTATTTTATCTAGACAATGGGAGTATTTAGATGGTTGGAGGTGATCTACAGGAAGGCTTGAACTTAGGATTCGTGCTTTCTAACAATCACTTGGAGGGATTCACCTTCGTTTGAACTGACTTCCTTATTGTTAACTCTGAATCATACTTATTTTGTAATAGTTCATGACTGAATTAGGTGGGATGAGATTTGAACCAGTGGGTGAGGTGGACCTGTTGGTTGAAAACTTGGTATATTCTCCTTGTTATATATGTGTGTTTATGTGCAATTTATTAGTGAAAAATAAACATTGTGAACCCGGAGATAAAGAATACTTTCATCAACAAATGCTTTTCAATTAATCTGCTGCCTATTTGACCACAGATAGATAGATGATTTGAGATACATGGAAATGCGGTAAAGCGTTCGTAACTCAAGTTTATATTCGTTTGTCTTAGATATTCATGTTGACAGTAGAAGGCATATTTTGGAGCGTTTGGCAAAAGCATCATTATTTCTTTCATTATTACCTTGGGTTCCGAGTGGAAAATAGGGCTTCAACAACACATCTTTACTTTCTTCTATTTTCTGCTATCCTCTTCGGCTATCTGGCTCCATAACTGCTCATAATCTCTCATCCCCTCCCCCCGAACACATGATCTCTCCCATGTCACCCTCGACCGACACACTCGCCGTTCTTTGTTTGAATTCCACTAGAGCGATGGCCTGCATTGAGCGTGATGTCATTCGACGGCTTCCTCAACGTACGCCTGATTAATCCATATGCATTTTCTCCTGCATATTTGTTGAGTAATTGGCTCTTAGTTGGTTTGTTCCCAGCCAGAGTTTTCTGTTTTTAATACTTTCCGATCGGCCGGCCACTGGAGTCAGTGAAGGCAGCTTTTGATAAAAGTCTGCAACAAGCTATTGGAAGTCCTTCTCGTGTCGGGTGAACAATGCGAGTTTCCTACCTGTATAGGAGGACTCACTGACTGACTTAACATTTTTGTTAAAAATCCGAATTTTGTTCTTTATACTAAGTGAGTGCAGGTGATTTCCAAACTGGTTTCGGGATGAGGAAGGCGTATCTTGCCTTTGCGATTCTCATTGGCTTTAACATCTTCATCCTTGGTGTCACCCGTGATTAAAACGACGATTCCTAGATAAGTGAAGAAAATGACCTCTTTCAAATTGCTCCCATTTGGTTGGTTATTTTCATCTCCTCCGTCTTCCCTTTGTTCAGCCGAAGTCCTGTCTCTACCACCTGCGTATTCTGCCAGTTTGTTGATTTTCGCCTGTAAGTCTTCGAGTCTGTGTGACATTGAACATAAATCATCGCCTCGCAAAATCCAGATCTTCGAGAGTATTCTTACTGGCCCACTCCTGTACTCCCGTACTCCTGTATTCTTACTCACCACTCACAGTCTGACGCATAATCCAGTCCGCCACCATTAAGAATACCATCGGTGATAACAGGCAGACAGCTAGTCTCACTCCTGTATTCACTTCAAACGCCTCTCTGAGATTTCCGTTGTGGATCATCTAACACGTGACATTTATCATACAGCCAGCTGTTGAATGAGGTTGACAAAGACTTGGGCATTGCATGCCATAGTGTTGAAGCAGTCTCCAAATTACTTCTCCGTCAACACTGTCGAAAGCCTTTTCGAAGTCGATGAAGGAAGTTGAGGTAGAGGTTTGACTGCCATTCTATGCTTTGTTCGATGACGTTGCGTACGGTTTCAATTTGACAAGCATATGATTTTCCTCTCCCGAATTCAATTTGTTCCGGAGGGCGGAAATCTGCATGCAGTTCGCCTTTTATTCTTTCCAGGATGACGCGACTCAGTATTTTACTTGGTGTGGATAAGAGCATTATTTCACTCCAGTCAGTCCTTGTACAGGCCTAGGTCGCCCTACTTTGAAAGCTTGACGAGGTAGCCTTTCTTCCAGTCAGTATGCACCTTCCATTCCTTCCAAACTTTTTGTGATAATGTCATGAGAACATCTGCCGCAGTCTCTGGGTCCGTTTTCAGTGCTTCGGGTTGAGGGAATTTCGTCTGGTCCTGCTGCCTTTTCGGGCTTCAGTAGCTTGATTCCATTCAAGATTTCCAATTTTGTTGGGGAATTGGTGTACATAGTCAGTTCTGTGAGTGCTGTTGTTGGTACTTCTAAGCGAGTTGCAGGTGACTGTCGGTTCAAGAGTCCCTTAAAATGATCATCTCACTGTTTTATTTGTTCCTCCTCTTTGGGAAATAGGTCCCACTGAGCATCTTTTATAGATTTCACCTTCGATGGACTCGGATCATATAGTGTGATCTGAATAATTTTGGTTTCTTAAGCGAACTATGTAGATATTTCACCTGGAATTGTGTTAACTGGAATTCTCGAATTTTTTGTGTGAAGTGTGAATTTAATCCAATACATTATCGGTCCATCCAAGTGGCTAGCCAAAATTAGCGTTTCTAACTGATTTAGCACTCTAAGCTGTGTCAGACAAAGTATTCTTCTGACAAATTCGACGCCAAACAAGTCGTATTGATCACTTCTATCAAGCTGGCTGCCAAATAATACTGGTTCATGTGACTGGTATCCACCTAACTACTCATTTCAGTGGTATATAGCATCATGCATCAGGTATACAAAAGCTTTTTACGACATACATGTACCATATTTCTCTATATTTACACTGATTAAGTGCTTACTGTGTCATTTCATCCTTTTATTTCCATCTTTTATAGAAGACAAACTAATGGCAACAGCTCAAACATCTGTTCACCTCGTTCGTCTACCTCAATGACAAACAGATCAAACACACATTCTATAAATTCAAATGAATTAAGAAAAACTTCCCTAAGAAAGAATCATCCGTCTACTACACCCTATTGGCATAAAGAGAAGGCTAACCACAATACTGATACCGATGATGATGCTGTTTTTGTTGACGATAACGGTCAGTGCAAGTTACTGCGTGTACAACACCGTCGTCCGGTGTGTAACACCAATATCAGTCAACATAATAATGCATATAATGATGAAAGTGACAGAGAAGAAGAAGGCGATCAAGAGAATAAAGTCAGTTCTAATATTGATTCACATGCCGGAGATTTCAATAAAAGAGGATTACTTCATGGAAAGTTATACGCGTCAACAAATGCCACAGATTATTCCTTCTCATCATCAGTAGTCTTTTGTCCAGAAGAAGAAACTGATGAGAGTCAAACACCGAGTTTATTGAAAAATTCTGAGAATAATTCAGAATTATACGCTGGAGAAGCATTCGAAACATCTTTAATTGACTTTAAACTACCACCAACACCCAATTCACCTGGTGACAATAATAATAATAACAATAATACGAAGAAGAAATATAACAATGAAAATCATAATCAAAATAAAATAATAACTGAACATGTTGAAGAGGCGAATTCTGATGTAAGTTAGAGAGACAATTGAAGGAAAGAAAGGAAACATTATATGCACATTTATTTTTTAATTAATTTTATTTTTTTAATTACACCTTGATGCCACACTGTATTTTCAGTACAAGTATGGCATTTTCAGCATGGATATCGGTAGCCCTAATTTTGCAGGCCGACCACAGATATCGGGTGTGCGTCGGCAGGGGATCGAACCCCGGACCATGTGCATGGTCGGCAAGAGTCCTAACCACTGTGCTACCGACGCACAAGTGTTGGTTTGCAGGGATTTGATTTGATTGGTTACAGGATTTCATCATGAACTGACACTGGTTAGAGGACCATTAGAAAACCACTGGGGAGTACTGCTCAGCTGTTCCTTCATAGTTCAAGACTCTTCATCAGTACGCACCCATCACCATGGTTCGAACCCAGGACCTTCTGCTTACAAGGCTAGCGAGCTCGTAGACCACTAAGTCACTGGGACTCCATCCGACGGCCAACCCATGAATTCTAAATTCTGCCAGTTCACGATATGATGTGACCACTAGAGAATGTCATAGATGGCGAGTATTTGTTCTCACACCCGACCTGTTGTACCCCCCTGGTCACGACTTCCTACTACGACGCAGGTAACTAAATAGCCGAATAGATCCAGTCACTAGTAAGCATCTGATTGATATTCAAGTGTTAGTTTGTAGAGATTTCATTTGTTTCACGATTTCCGTAGTGGTTGCACCATATTGTGAATAAGAAGTTGGAATTCATGCTTTGGCCATTGGATCGAGTCCCGGTGGCGTAATGGTCTACACCTTGTAACCACAAGGTCCTGGATCCAAATCTCAGCGGGTGTGTATTGATGAAAAGTCCCAAACAAGGATGAAACACCTGGCTCTTCAGTACTCCTAGGTTTCCCAATGGTCCTCTAACCGAAGTCAGTTCATGATGAAAGCCTGATATACACGCATGTTAATAATTTTCGAAAAATTATTTTGAAGTATTATTTGGTTTTTGATGCCTGTAGTGTGGTAACTAAGTTTAAAGATGTATTGTCCAGAAAATTTATCCGGAGCCAAGTTACACACTGATTAAAGCTGTTCGTGACCTCATGCTACTGAAACAGCATCACTCAACTAATAATGGATCTCTCCTCAGTAGCTTTTGTGTTGTTTTTTTCAATTTCCCCTATTACTTAATTAATTACCCTGTCATAAAATTATTTGGAATTAAATAAAACTATATACTACTGACTGTTGAATACTGTTCCCATTAACCAACAGTGCTTATTAGCCAGCCAGACTGAAGTGATGTAAACTCTGGGCTACCATTTAGCTTGTTATGGGCTGACCATATGATCAGTGTACATAGCTTAATTCAACTCACAGAGCCGAATCACTTCAAGCCTCCAGTCTTAAATCACTTCTGAGCTGACATAAGGTCGGGTTGGAAAAGAACTAGTGGTGGTCAGACCAAAACGTGTGGCATCAGTCAATGAAATCCAAAAAAGTTAGATGAAGCCACGTAGGTAGGTGCAGACTTCCTGCTTGGGGTCCTCAGGTTGGTAGAAACCAATGGCTGGAGACAGTCGGTGATATGGTTCGAAACCGTTCTCAATGGCTGGTGCAGATGCATCCACTCCTTGTGACTTATAATACTCAACAAAACTATATTGTTCTTGGATATTATTATTCTTTCTGCCTCATATCTCTGTTTACTGTCTCTATTTTGCATTTTCTTTTTTCTTGCTTTCTTCCCTTGTTTTGTGTGTTACTCAGAGTGCGGCGACTCGAACTGCTGCACATCGGTGCAGAGTTCTGTGTTGAAACCAGTCAGTCACTCTTCTTGCAAGCATTACTAGATGACGTGATTAGTGTACTTGTCTCAACCAATCAGCTGCATAAAGTTTTATACAAATATGCTTTGTTTCTTCATTACCATTTATGGTATAAAGCAGATCATATATTGTGGTGATCTAAATCATTGCGATTCCCAAAGGAATCTGTGGTGATACAACTACTTCGGACAGTGTAAATTAGGAACTCGATCTATTTTGAATTTCCTTTTGATAGTTTTGACTGATTCCAAATTAGGTTGACATCTATTGATGTTTCATCTCCAAGTATGGATACTTTAGTAATATCCTGACGTGTTAACTTGGCACTACTTGGCCGGTCGTTGGTGATTGGGCAGTAGTGGAATTGAGTCGCATTAAGAAAAACATTCCATGAATAGGATGCAAGTACATTCAGCAGATAATTTCTGGGATAGGACAAAAGACGCTCATTACTAGATCTGAATTTCCACCATCATCAAATAAATAAGATTTGAACTTATTTGCACAAATTGAAGGAAGGAACGATGGAAGGGAATACAGATATCTGATAAGGAAATGAAGTTATAAGGTGTTATAATCATTTTGTGTAGGGTAAGTATGACCTTTCAACATAGTTGACAACGAAATGAGTTACTTAGTTTTGATAATCGATATCTTCCTACTATGCAACTTGAAACATTTGCTTACCCTAAATAATCAATCTTACCCTGGAGTATATATATTAGCAGTTTTAAGCATTATATATTATAGTTATTATTATTGTTACTCTGGGTTACGAGTGTAACATAGGGCTTCAACAGCACATCTCTCCTTTGTTCTTTTTGGTATTGTCCTCTTCAGCTGGGTTGACTATAATCTCTTATCTCCTCCTCCTCGCCAAACAATCTTCTCCATCTAACCCTTGGACCGCCCACTTGTCGTTTCCCTTTCGGATTCCACTCGAGGGCCCGGCGAGCGATCTAATTGGACGACCTCCTTAACGCATGCTAAATCCATCTCCATTTTCTCCTGCATATTTGTTGAGTGACAGGTTCTTGGCTAGTTTTTTTCCCATAGTTTCTTGCTGCTAATTCTTTCTGCCAAGCAAGCCATTTGATCTTCAGTATGGCGTCAGCGAAGTGGGTACTTGTTCATAGAAGTCTGTAACTTCTCGGGAATGCTTTTCTTAACACGATGGCCACGTTTCTGACACGTATGGAAGGAGGGAATGATTTGACATTTTTGTTGAAAATCCTAATCTTGTTCTTTCTATAGGGCTGAATGCAGAAGATTTTCAAATTGGTTTCACGTCGTTGAAAGCGTATCTTACCCTTCCGATTCAGGCTGACTTTGACATCTTTGTCGGCTCCGCTTTAGGCACTGCAATGTTTTCACGACTCATTTGATCATTTCATCACTAAGCAGAGATGTGTTGTAAGATGCGCAACATAATTTCGTCCGCTTCTAGTGAGTAAATTTAATGCATCACAAAGTGTTATTCACCTCCCATATATATATATATATAATCACCACGCTTAGTCATACTTTCTACAGCCAGGTGTTTAGATATGATTCACTTGCAATTCTGTAAACTGCTTCACACTTAGTTTAACGATATAATACAAACTATCCATGAAAGATACTCGTGCTTTCCAGTTCTACACAAATATACGTCGGTGGCACAGTGGTTAGGATTCTCGCCGACCATGCACATGGTCCGGGGTTCGATACCCTGCCGACGCACACCCGATAACTGTGGTCGGTCTGCAAAATTTGGGCTACTGATATTCATGCTGAAAATTCCATACTTGTACTGAAAATACGGTGTGGCATGAAGCTGTAATCAAAATTTTAAAAAAATATGCACATAGCATCAATTCCTGGTTAATACCCTCCCAAAACTTGCCTAGCCTGTACTCAGCCGAATAAAGAGGAGGGAGTAGGCGCATGAGGGGATAAATACCTCACTCTGTGAAAACAAAACACGTCCGCTATTGAAACTACAAAGTTGAAGAAAAACTGAGGCCTTAAGTGCCACTCGGAATGCAAAATTATATAAGTATACATATATATATATGTGTTTAAAATTTATTCTCAATCTTTAAGTAATATTTAAGTGGATATAACATAAACGACGTATGAATGACTGTAGAAAAAGAATGAAAACTCTCAAATATTCATTCATTCGTTTATTTAATAACATTGAAATCCTTTATAATAATAATAATAATCATTAGTAATGATTAATCGAGAATAAACTCGATAAAGAGAAAAAATTGGAACACTTCTCTATTTTAATAATTGTCCAAAGTAGTATTTAGATGTACTAGTAATACTATTATCATTATTATTATTAATAATAATAATATTTAAAATTATTTGTGGGCTTTTTCTCTCCCTCTGTACACCTTGACGTAGTTATCCATCCATTTAAGTGTATTCACTCCTTCCCTCACTCACCAACAGTAGACGGATTATTAATCCACTGAGGATTATGTGAATAATTTCTATTTTAACAGATTTACAATTATTGATATATAAGGATGAAACTTGGGCACTGTGGTAGTGGCGGTGGTGGAGTATAATTCCAGCATTATGGATAAAAGTTTATTTTGAAAAAATCACACAGTGCTGTTATATTGTCAGTAATATTTACTGATGACCGCGTTTCGAAGTATTCACTTACACAACTTTCTAACTTCGATTATGTGCATGAGTAAAATTGACTAGACTTATGCATAAAAGCAATAAAAGACATGGGTGAAACATAATGGAAGATAATATAAGTATTATCAATAAAATACAATAAGATGGGAAATAAGATGTCTTTATAGTAAAATGAATAACTTGGTAGAAGCAATTTGAAAATTCCCATTCTATCCTAGAACACTTGATCGATTCCAGACACCAAGCAAACCCACAAAACAACTTCTCAGTTATCTACACAATACGTGGGAATCTTGCCAAAAGAGTACGAATTAAACTTCTTCAAACTGCAGAAGCAATGGCAATTCACATATTGAATCCTGAACTCTGCATACAAAAGAAGTTTGTTCAGTCACTAAATCTACAATGGTACTGATCTATTTTAACACCAAATACGTAATTTTGTCTTACCTCTTTCTTCTTTGTTTGTCTGTTTCTTAAGTGCATTATTTTCTACCCCCACCCTCTTTTAAATCTCTACCATCATGACGACTGTTGCTAACTCCATTTTCGTTTATTTTTAAGTGAATTCTACTCAGATTATTAACTTGACTCTCATTCATTTTTCACTGAACCCTATCAATTAGATTACGTCACCCAACCTACTTTTGTAACTTTATTTTAGTTTCTAACCGATTTACGCCTTCTAAATTACGTAATTTGTTGTCAAAACAATTAGCAATTGCATTAACACATCTTTGGAAATATTCCTTTTGTTGCCAAGAAAAATTACTATAAACTTGGTAGAATGTTATAATGTGAATTGAATTGAAATACATTTTAACATTATTTATTATCCTTCTCTGATTTGACTGGTGGTAATAATATCATCCATACCTCTGGTATTAGCGATGATGAGTCACTTCTATTGCATGTGTTTGGTGTAGACTCGATGAACTAGGATTCAGCAATCAACCACCTCTCTCTCCACCTACTTAGATTATTTTTTAGAATTTTGATTGTGTCCCACCCACCCTAATGCGTGATTGTGTGTTAATACACTCAGTGCTATTCCTGATTTTTATTTCTAAATTACTTATCTTCGTGAGTGGGGTCAATCATTCTAACCTTTGCTAAATTCTTATCTTCCGACAATCTCACTACTCCTGACCTACTAGTTTGACCTATCTAGTTGAATCGGAAAATGAACAAGGAGAATTAGCTATGTTAGATTGTAAAATAAAAAAAGAATAAAAGAAGGCAAACTGCGTTTATTTTACTGATAACACTAATATTATTTTCGAATGTGCTTTATCTTCCTTTGTCTTTCACGCATATCTTATATTGACTTTTATTCAAATTTCTAATCAATCTCTACTCATGTACATAAACGAAGTCAGAAAGTTGTGTAAGTATTATCTTGATATGATTATGAGTAGCGGTGATAAATTGTGCTCGAAACGTGGTCATTAGTAAATATTACTTACTGTATAGCAGCACTGTGTGACTTTATCAAAATAAAATTCTATCCATCATAAGAGATTTAAACTTGCCTGAAAATGTAGCATTTTGATTAATATGACATACTGGAATTTGTCAAACAAAAATACAATTGGTTATAGTTAATTTAAATAAATAGGTGAAGATTGGTAATTGGAGTTACGTAATACATACAAAAGAGGATTACTCAACCACTTCTACTGTCTGGGTAACAACTTTTTTGATTTGATTTTTTTGATGACTTAATTTTGTTTCTTTGCCAGTTCTTTAATTGCTTATAATTCTTGTGTTCATTTAGAACTCTTACATAATTTCGTATTATCTACTTCGTTCCTATGTGTATCCTGAGTAAAACTCACTCATCAAACTATTCATATTACATAACTTCTTTTAACAGTTGTTTGTGACAACTCATCACCTGTGTTACTACCCTAATTTCACTAACACCTAATTTCCTTGACTGATTTTGTATTACGTAACTCCAATATTGGGCTTTGTTTTGTGACTCAATTTTGATTTTCTTGTCGACTGTTTCAACCGAAATGGTTCGGCCTGAGTTGAAATATCAGCTCCTTGTGTCGATGCCTTAACGATGTCTGATCATTTAACTTGGGGTAATTTGGTGAATGTTGACTATTAGTGGAATGCGAGATGCTAATTCTGCCCTTTCTGGGACTCATCATTTGGATGTGTCTGAATTCTCTAGTGAGTGGTGAAATCTACAATGATTTTAGACTGAATTACTAGGAAACCCGTAGTCCAAATTATCAATCTCCAGCACACTGGCAACTGTTGAATAAGGGCCCTGAAGTTGTAGTGAGGCAAGCACACATGAGTAGGCTCCGCACTGTTTTCGCTCTTCGACGGAATCAGTTGGCGCCAGCACTACATCACGAATTGAAAAGTTACAATTAATGGATCATTAAACTTCTTTCAAAGCTACTAACTAGTCAATGAATTGGACTTGCAACGGAAAGGTTTTTGCTTCTTCCCTTTGGTGGGTTCATAAGGGCACTCTGCTAAAGCTTTGCAAACTAGGACGAAACAGCTGTCTAGTAAGTGCTGCCTTGTTTTCAATGATTCTTCAAAATGATGTTGGTTTCTGACATAATCTATATAGATATACATGTATAAGATATTTGTAATGTCTTGTTAACTCAGCTCGACACTGTGTGGTGAGGCCTAGTTCCATTATAGTTTTCACGCGATAAACATATCAACTATACATGCTTATAAGCCATTAGTGAATGCTGATTAAACTTAAAAAAGTCAGGTCTCGGTAAAGCCACTTTTATCGAACTATGAATAAGAATAAATCCTTTATTATATTTAGCATAAAGTTAAATAATTTAAATTTCTTCATGAGTGATATAATTGCGTCTCGCGGTAACCATCCTTACATATGTATTGACCATTTTCTATTGACTTGGATTTTAAACTGGTCACCTGATTTACTTTTTATTAGTTGGTATATTTCGTCTATATTAACGTGTTTGTTAATTGCATTTTCCTTTGAGTATCAGGCTTCTAGGAATTCCCTGACTGCACCTTTGGTGTTCCCTCTGTCTAAGATTTTGACATTATCCCAATCAAACTGATGACTATGATTGTCTATATGCATTGATACTAAAGAATATATATCGTGTCTTTTCACGGCTGATTTGTGTTCTTGGATTCTAATTCGAAGAGGACGCCCACTTTGGCCGATGTAATGCTTGTTGCAGTTCATATAATTTATTTTGTAAATGGTATTAATTTTTATCTCCTTTTTCTGTTGGATCTTTTGGTTTGCATTATATCGAATTAAGCGATTTAACTGGCTTGTGTGCTATATCTATATCAAACGGTTCCAGTATTCTAGCTGTTATTTCAGAGATATTTCTCATGTATGGTAGGATGAATTTTCTTGTGGTCTTTGATGATGGTTCTTTGTTGGTGTTTTGATTCGACTTTAAACACTTTTGATGAATTCTTGTGGATAACCATTCTTTTTGAAGACCACTTGTAGGTATTTTTCTCCCTTTCTTTTCAACTCTGGAGTGCTACAATGTGTCTGAACTCTTTTAAACAATGTCTGCACACAGTTTCGTTTGTGAGTAATTGGATTATTGTTAGTATAGTTAAGTATTCATTAAAATAATGAACTAAAAGGCATGAATATGGTTCTTTTCTCTGAGATGTGGCAAAAATACCCCACAGTTTTGGATCGGCGAATCAATGGAGGGATTTAACCGCATTCAATGCATGCAAATATCTAGGTCTTCTAACCTTAACTATAACCCTAATCTTTCCTTAACGTAACGAACTTCCATTTCCTCTTCACATTTATCTTCTCTACCTTGTCGTCGAATGACTAACACGTTTATTCCTATTCAGGTTCACCTCGGGGAGGGCGGGATCGGCTGGTGTGTCATGTCACTTGATGGTCTCCTGAGCGTCAAACTTTGTAAATTTATGTGAAATACATAAATTCTTGCTTCAGTGGTCCCTCCGTAGAATACTCTGAGAACATATCCTACATGGTCCATTGTTCGATCCCTTACCGAGGCACTCCTAAACCTGGCTTGACCTGTAATAAGCCTGACAAAGTAGGAAGGCTGGATGTGAGGAGCTAGCAACATCTCCCCCGTGGAAAAATAAACACCAATGCTACTGAAATATCAAAACCAGATTCCTGAAGTCCTATGTTCCGCTCAGAACACAAAGAAATAAAATAAAAGAAGTAGTAATTTATGAAGTCAGCATAATGTAATAGAGAAACAGGTGAAGTTTTTGTAATAATAATTAGCAGATAAACAACAACTTTTATTGAATGAACTCTATTCACAGTTTTTATATTGTATTTTCGCATGTTTCTCTTTGTTCTTTTTACATAGTCAAATCTTCCATCTCCTCCATCGAATGACTTTCTAGTTCAATTAGAAAAGTATAAGTTCAATACTGACAAACAGCGAGAAGTATTTAGAAATAATAATTTAGAAAATACAAATCAGAAAGCAAATACACTTGAGAATATTAGCAGTGATACAGGATTCTCTTCACGTGGTGATAACAATAATACGACTACTACTAATAATGCTAATAACAAACGAGGTGGTCGTCGTCTACCCTTATTACCTTATGAAAGATCTGACCACCATGGCAAATCAAATGTGCTGGATCAGTTTACAACATCAACACCAACAGCACCGGCAAAGGAGGTGGTGACGACGACTGTGGCAACGTCAACACCTCTGCCTCAACCAACAGAAGCAACTAAAATTAACCGACCTAAAATGATACAACTTTTATCACCAACACCTTCACCGAGACTGTCGAAGGGTATAAGAAGTGATTATCATCATCATAATCAGTATCAAAAACGATTGTCTACTAATCATTGCCAGCTGGAAGAGCATGATCAGACTACGGAATGTGATCTTGTTTAAAATTGTCTGCTGTGTATACTTTAGGCTTATTTGAACACTGTCTACTGCGGCGACTACTAATACCTCTTCTTCTTATAGAATACTGTAATGATGAACAGCTGAAAGGTTGAAACATCGAAGTAAAAAGTAACACCCTTTTTCTTCTTGTTGTTGTTTCTCTTCCTTTTCTTGTATATGTACTTCTTTTTTTACAGCGTGGTTTATCTATGCACATGAATTTATGTAGTCTAACGGCAGTGTAACATGTATGTGTACTGGTGAGTGAGTGGGTGAGCACAAGGACAAGTGGTTGAAAAAATGGCCTTCTTTCGTCTCTTTCCTTATATATATAATGCATTATATACTTGTGGATTACGTAATCTTGGAGTAGGTATCTGCGTGTTTGTGCAGGCATGCTCATTACTTCACTGGTGATCATGAATCCATTTTTTTTCAGTTGAAAAAAAAACACAATATAAAGTGTAATTTAGTTTTTTATTTTCCCCTCGTATGTACTATTATTATATATATATATTAATTGTTGTCGTGATTGCGTCATATATATATATATATTGCGTGGATAAATAAACAAATAAATAAATAAATGGAACAAACATGTGTATCCTTCAAGTGTTGGTTTGCAGGGATTTGACTGGCTACACGTTTGGTCATCAACTGAGATCAGTTAGAAAACCACTGGAAATATCATATGGCAGGTTACTTTTATCAGTTTGAATAAAGAAAGAACGGAGACATTTGCAGGATAATACGAGATCGTTTGATTTCGTGGATTCTCCGTCTTCAGCTACGTAAATCCTAAATAATTTCAATTATAATACATGAGAAAATTTCTGAACATACATTTCACAGTGATTTCAATGTTTTAGGTAGATAGAATCTTATCGAAAATGAATACCCTCAGAAGTTCATATCAAGTTCATATGGAAACAAGACGTAGACAGAAACGCGAAATAGTTGAAAAGAAACTATTCTTTATCTGTCTAGCGTACAAAGACGAAGAAATATCCATAAGAACGGAGAACAGAATTAAAGGTGCATTAAAAAGAACATTTCCCACCTGCTAGACTCATTCCACTTTACGACACAGTATACTTGTTAACCCAGTCAAAAGTAGATAGGTATCCTGTTCCTCATATCAACTGCAACTGTATTTACCAATTCACCTGTACTTGCTACCGCAATTACATAAAGAGGACTGAGAGGACAGAGTCTACTAGATTCTCCCAGCATATGCCTAGAATTCTCCGTTTGAAAGGCAGCGAAGTGTTTTCAAGTGCAATCGCCAGACACCTAATTGACACGGGACATATAGTAGAAATTAGTGAGGTTTTCAAAATAATCAATACAGAAAGAAAAGCATAGCTACTTCTATTCACAGAAGCCATTGGCATCGAAAGACTTCGAAACAACCTATTCATAGACAAAGAGAGTGTTACTAATTTCTTACCAATCTGCTGACAGTTATCCTTTTTCTCTTGCGCTTCTGTGTTTCGTTCTGTTGCATTACTTTCCACTGAATCTTGATTTTGATTCTGAATCACTGAATTGAACTCATTATTATGTTTCCAGATCTGCAAAGTTAAATTATTTTATCTATTCGATAATTTTAATTCACTGTTCACCATCACCCTCCTGAAATCTCCACTATAATATGTGTGCATTCACTCTGTTGTTCTATCTTGTACTCTGTCTCTAGTCCATCCTTTTTTCCAAGAGAAATCTGAACTCTATCCCCTTGTCTAATTGCTATGCAAATAGTTACTCAGTGGTAACGTCTCTGACTGCAGCACTGGGTGACGCGGGTTCGAATCTCAGAAGGGACATGAGTTCCTTCACGGTTGCAGATACGCACTGCTGACGAGTGCCTACTAGCATGAAACCTAGGTCCGAGGCTTCCTGCCGATTGCATCCAACCATCTAAATAGTTACTCTCTTTTAAACACTTAATAATTGTCTACTTACATCGTCTTCGAAATTATGCTGCTTATACTTCATATCTGTAACTCGAAATCATTATAAGTACTGTGTTCAGAAAACTTTGTAACATATAATTGATTTGTTTAGGATGTACACAGTTGAAGAGGGTGAATCTACGAAATAAAATGAGCTTGTATTATCCTGCGAATATATTCTCTGTTCCTTTATTTAAACCACTGGAAGTACTGGACAGCTGTTTCGTTCTAGTTTCAGACTCTTTATCAGCACGCATCGACCACCAAGGTTTGGATCCAGGACCTTCTGTTTACAAAGCAACCTCTTAGACCATTTAGCCACTGGAATCCAACCTAATGGTCCATGAACTCCAGCTTCTACCAGTTTGTGAAATATATTTGTAACAACAGAAGACAAGGGCCAGGCAACAGATCGTTTATTAAGCAAAATCAACACATATTTATAGATTTTAATGTACATTATTATAGATTATTGTTAGTAGAAAATACAGTCTTTTGATTGGTTGTTTCTCACAGAAAGTTAAGCTTGAATCTTTGTGGCTGTGTCAGATCATCCATATGCTAACTGTATCCGCCTACGCAAAGGCTTTGTTCTCATCTTCTCACCACCAATATTTGGGACATAAACATTGACGTCAATTACTGTCTACCAACTTTGGCTAACAGCCAGCTCTCACCACATATTTAGCGGAATCACCAGCCAGTGTCATATATACTTCATACAATTTTTTCTATCAGTAAACTTGAACAAAACAGGAATGACAGACAAAATATAGCTGAATGATACTATGAACTGACTTTTCGCTTCTTCATGGTTTCTTCTCAGCTGACTGTAGCCTGAACAGTAGAAGAATACACATTACATAGAACGATTTGAGCATACACTTTACGCAGTAATAACGAGTAATTAATAGAAAGTGTAAATAACATATGTCCGGAAGAATGTATACTGTTAAATTCTTCAGAGTTAAGCGGATCGCCTATCGACAGAATGATTACAGGAATATTCGTGAAGAAAAGACGGGGTGCAAGCATTTTTGGGTTGAAAGTAAAGTTAAACTAGAAAGAGAATATCAAAGCAATAGGTTACGTAACATCAGAAAATATGATTTCATAAAATAGCAAAAATGACTAAGGTGAGTGGCTCTAAGTGAAAGTTTTTTTCAAAATATCAAGATATCTCGAGGAATGCATAAACTTCACGCACTCATTCTCTATTATGAATTTGAATAAAGTAAAAACAGCTGTTTGTGGAGTAATGAATTCGAGGAGAATCGAGCTATTTTGTTTGTTGATACTTTCATGTCGTTCACCTAATGCCTCGTATTTATGAGATGTCTGGCAACGGCACTATTGGAAACATTTATTCCCTTAAGATGTAGGCTTTTCGGTACATATTCGGAAAATCGAAGGTGTACCATTCTTTCTGTTCGCCGAATATAACTACTCCTGCAGATGCGAGTAAATTTGTATACACAATTACTGTTAACATGCGAAGGGCGTCTGTTGACTTCTGACTGCGCCAAAGAGCATGTTGTCAGATAGACGAGAACCAACTTAGCTGCAGGATGGGTTCTGGCTAGTGACGCATTCGATCCTCTTTTGGCCCATTGAAATCGAGCAGAATGTAGATAGGCTTATTTACCGCTGTGATTTGTTCGGCTTTTGAGCCTTCACATCTTGCATACTTTCTAATGAATTTCTCATTGTAATGATGATTTTTCAACATATTTTCAAGAATCATACATTCTTTCTGTAATTTCTCTGCAGATCATATTCTCCTAGCTCTATGGAACAGAGTCTTGACTAGGGCTCGTTTGAAGCCATTTGGACAAAAACTATTAAAATTTAGGTATTGTGCATTCCATTTAGGCTTTCATTAAACTGACCTCCAGAGAGCAGCATCTTCCAGATGTTACATGGTGATGTCAATAAAATGAAGCTTTCCATCATTTCCATGTTCCATAATGAATTCAATACTGATCAGTTCGTCGTTGAATAATTCGAGTACGTCAGAAGTATGACTTTCACAAACTGTTGTTCTTGCTTTATTAAAATTGCATACCTTTTGTCAAGGGACTTAACCCTAAGTTCCTATTATTTGCGAAGACGCTCCGCACCGATATTCACTATGACTTTCTCGACTTTAACTCCAAAACACCACTACTTTAAGGAAGTTGTATTGTTTGGCAATTAAAGTCTAGCTAAGTACAAGATTATAAAAGTTCCAACAAACAAACGTTCAATGTTCGCGTCCACTGCCACCTTTGTTTTCCAAGTTCAATCACCAAGGTAGCGTAAAGTTCACCACTCTCGTTCTTCGTACATAAATTTGGTTTCAATCATTTGACGGTGATTGCTTAAACAAGATACAACAAGCCAGGTTTCCGTAGCGTGTTTATTATTTTCACCATCTTCAAACTGCTTATAATATTACCAGTTTTCAATATATATACATATATATATATATATGTAATGACCGAAAGCGAAGTATTCTGGTCTGTTCACAGGAAATCAGTCGACGCGTTCTTCTCTATAGCTAATCAAACTTCTTAAAGTGACTCACAGTCGAAAAAATGTCCCGATAGTAGCAAAAAGACAGTTATATGAGACGAAAAAATCAGCGATACTACTAAATAATAATAAAATATTAAGGGGGTAGGAGTAAATCCATTCTAGTCCATTCCCGTTTTGTTGCAGCGTATTGTGAAGTTGTTCGTGTGTGGAGAGTGCTACTGATTAGATTTACCAGTAGTATATCAAGAGATATTCAGTGGCATAAAAACATCAAATAACAAGGAGATAGATTTGATATCAGAGAATGCAAATGATACAGCGTTTCAAAGATAAATGGGAGACGTGAAAGGAATATAGAAAAACACAATAAGAAGTCCAGAAGTACCACAACCCAAAAATCTGGGTTTAATGGTGAGTTATAAAAAAGTAAACATAATTTGGGTAAATATAGATGCCAATTTCCAAATAAAAATTCCTTTACCAAGTCTTTTGTCTTCTACTGTTTCATGTGCATGCGCAGAAACGCGATAA